TATGTGTGAAAGGCCAAAATGTTTTTATTGTTTATGTTTGTTTAAAACTTTGTGCTGTTAAATGGTAAAAATATAATTTTATAGTTATATTTTTATTTTAACAATTTAGATAGATTAAATACATGATGTTAAACTTATTCGAATTTTTGAACTTGATTGACAGGCTTGATGTGCATGAATAAGTTGTGGTTGATATGTATTTAACAATAATATATGTTTTTATATAAGAGATTGAGATGGGTGAAAAAATTGGACGTATGAAACTTTTTCAATTAACCGATATAAAAAAAGATGGATCTTACCTGAATGTTGAAATATAAGAAATTGTGGTAATTTGTTAAATTTGTTTTATACAAAAAGTAAATATTTATTATTTTAAACATATTATGAATTAATCATTAAACTTGATAATTTTATCTGATTAATTTACAGGAAAAAGTGAAAGAAAAAATGACTATTAAGATTGAAGTAGCATCTGATGGTTCTATCAACATGCAAGAATTGAAAAATTGAATTTTCACAGAAGTTGTTGGAAAAGAAAGATATGGATAGGTCTGAGGCCTTGGATTAGGTTTAACACCATCTAGCTATTATGGACGTAGCTCTCGACAATTTACATTCTCAGCAAATTAGTCTTTGTGAGATATTTTCATATTGAAAGAAGAGTTGCAAATTATGCAATAATATTTCTAGTAAATGGAAGTAGAAAGAGAACATGAGCATGCTAAAATTGAAGAAGAACATGCTAGAATAGACCAAGAGTATGCAAAATTTCAGTAGTTGTATGATCGATTTGATACTCTTATAAATTTTATGCAACAATAATTTTCATGAACTAATCTAGGTGGTTTACCAACTCAAGTATTATACTTAGTAACTATTTATATTTTTTAATATAAAAATAGCTTATTATTAAGTGTTAAAACTTGTATGATATTATTCAATAGGTTCTTGAGCATGCTAGTGACCAAGGTGGAAACAATCGTTCATCAAATGGTAATATTCCAAATCTATGCAGTTATCAGTTTCATATATTTTAAATTTTTTGATTAATATACTAAAATAATTTGAATGTTATTGCATGTATTATTAAACTTTGTGTTACATGCATATTTGAACAAATTATATATTATAATATTCAGTTTATGAATTTAAGTTTGTTTTTATTTCTTTTAACATTTTTATTTAAGGATAATAATAAATATTAAAAGAAATTTTTTAAAAAAGTAAATTTTTTAATTTCGCAGCATTTGTGTTAAAAAACATGGTTAAATTCTAAATTTAATAACGTTTGTACCATAAAACACCATTAATTAGCAATGTTTTTCTATACAAAAATCACTAAATTAATGACATTTTTTCTATACAAACATCGCTAAATTAGCAGTATTTTCTATACAAACACTGCTAAATAAACGGCGATTTTATGATACAAATACCATTAAATTAGTGACATTTTTTTGATACAAATACCACTAAATTAGAGGTGATTGTGCTTACAAATACCGCTAAATTAGGGATGTTCTTATAAAACGTCACTATTTTTTTAGATGCGGATATAGCCGATGCTCTTAGTAGTATGTATGGCAAACACCACAAATCTTTTAATAGCGTTTATAAATGCCGCTAAACATTAAAAAAAAAAAGCCTACTAAAGACATAAACCCTTATGGTGAGAATTCCCATTCCTCACATCATAATTGGTCAATTATAATTAAAAGTAAACCCCTTTAAAACTACTATATTGACTATCTAATTATTTGATAATTGTTTAACATGTGTCCAAAAGTATAATAATATCCTTGTTCCTATAATTGACTAAATTTACTATAGTACCTCTCTTATTATAAGAAAACGACTATTTGCACCCTAATTTTTTCTTAATACACCCCAAAACTTTTATTATAAACTTTTAATAAAATTACTTAAATATCTATTAGTTAATTATTTTTTTGTCTCATTCCTAGAAATGTGTCTACTTTCTTATTCTTTTACAACTTTTTCCTTTTTCCATGTTCTTTCTTCCTTGTTTCTTGTTTCTTGTTCTTTGTTCCTTCTTTTTCTTTTCTTTTCTTCACTTTCCTAGAAACGTGCTCGATGCTTTCTTTTTTTCTTTTTCTCAACAAAAAATTAATTTGTTATCAAAATTTATAGCCAGAATTTCTAGAAATCCATTATAGAAAGCTTTTAAAAGCTTTCAAAAAAGTTTCTAGAAACAAATGTCTGAAAAGCCTTTTAGAACTTTCGCAAATGGAACGGATGTCTAAAAGCCTATAAAAACTCTCGAAAATAAATTTCTAGAAACCTTAGATTTATGAAAGTTTTTAAAAGTTTTCGGACATCCATTTCTAAAAACCTTTAAAAACTTCTGAAAATCCACTTCTAAAAGTTTTGAATTGCATCTAAACATTTTAACATGAAATCTTATGAAACTAAATATGAAATCAAACAAAAAAGCAAAAAGAATAAGTGATTTATCTTTGATTTTATGCTTTTTAACTTCAAATTGGTGAAATTTCTTTTGAATTTGGTTTGATTGGGACTTAAAATCATTTGGAAAAAGAGAGAAAATGAGAAGTGAGAGAAAGAAAGATGGGCTATTTGGATTTTTAGTAAATTTGTGTTTTAGGTGAGGGGTGTTTATAGCAATGTTATTAATATCGTATCAGATAACATTTCAATTTTTTTTAAAATAGTATATATCGGTACAAGTTGTTTCAGTATATTATTTTGAATTTTTTAGTTTAGTATAAATATATTTATAAACATGTATGAATTTGTACATTATAATATTATTAATAAGCCATAAAATAAATATACAATATATTCAAATCAAATAAATAAGTTTAAAAACATAAGAAATAATATCATAAATTTTTCATAATAATTTAAACACATAATTTGATTATATGATATTTAAATAAATATTTTTTTCATATAAATATTAAGATAAAAACAAAGAGATGAAAAAAATAATAAAAAATTTATGATTATTGAACTTTATAAAAGGAGTATAATTGTTTTCTTGAAAAAAACTGAAATACTTATAAATTTTGGTTTGAAAAAATAAAATATAAAATTATAAACTTTAGTTTGAAAAACTAAAGTATAAAAAAATTTAAAATAAAAAATAAAGAAGCTCAACTTTTAAGGATTATTTTATCAATTGATTTTATTTTTATTAGGTTAAAAATAGTTAAGTAACAAAATATAAGTTAAAAATTACAAAATATATTTCACATTCATGTAACGGTCGAAACATGCTATTTCACTGAAATTTACCGAAATAGAGTCGAAACTAGTGAAAACAACTGATATTGTTCGGTATCAAATCCAATATAAAAAATTATCCTTAGATGTATAATATTTTGATATAACTACAATGTACCGGTCGAGACACTTAGTATCGAAACGAAATTAACAACTATGGTTTATAATAAAAAATAAGGTATTAAAAATAATGGGTGTGTTGAATAATTATCGGGGTGCAAATAGTAGCTCTCCTATTATAATTGACTAAAATTATTATAATACTCCTCAAATCATAATTACAAAAATGCATCTCATACCATAAATTGATCAAAATTACTATAATGGCCCACCTACCATAATTATGGAATGACATGTGACATATTGTTTGAAACTTACTATAATATTCTTATTAAATGACACATTAAATTTTATTATAATATAAAATTAACTACATATTAATTACTAAATACTTTTACCATTGTTTCATGACAATTATATAAAATTTAACTACATATTAAATTACTATAATAAAATAAATCTATATAATATATTAAAAGTAATCTCTTAAAAAAATTACTATAATGCTCCGCTAATTAATTGATTAGTAGATGACTTGTCCAAATTTAATATAATACTCTTTCTTTCATAATTAGCCATAATTATTTAATACTTTTTTAATCATAATTACAGAAATAATCTTTTCACATAATTTATCAAAATTATTATAATACCCTTTTTATCATAATTATGAAAATACATTTTTACCATGATTAGTCACAATTACTATAATACTTTTCTTACCATAATTATAAGAATGTCTCTCTTGCCATAATTGATTAAAATTACTATAATACCTCTATTAAATTATATATTAAATTTTAACAAAATATAAAATTAACTACATATGAAATTACTAAAATATTCTTGCAATTGCTTCATAGAAATTTGACATATGAAATTTTATGAAAATTATTATAATATTCCTATTAAAATACATATTAAATAAATTTCATAAAACTTAACTACATATTAAATTATTATAAATCTATACAAGATATTGAAAGTAATCTTCTATGAAAATTACTATAAAAATATATTTATTATTTTAACATAAATGATAAATATATAAAAAATAAATTTAACAAAAAATTATCAATCTCGAAGGGGCAAAAATATTATATGTGAAAATTAAATAAAATAAAAAATTTCCCTTATTTTCTTTCTCTTCTCTCTAAGATTTTTTTGTAAGTTCAATCGACTATAGTTTGAATATTGATTGATTTAATTTTACAATGTGATTAAATTTTGTCCAATTAAAAATTTAATTTAATCAAAATAAAAGATTAATGACTTGATTGATTTACATAAAATATTAAAGACTTATGTGATTATTGAATTATAATTTAAGGACTTTTTTATCCTTTAACCTTAATAATGTATGAGCTCAAAGGTTCTAATTGCATTTATGTAGATAATTGTATTTGGTAGGAAAAAGAAAATATTTATGTATACATTAAATAAAAAAGAACTTGGTGAATTCTTTGATTCTTTCCCAAAAAGGAAAAATAATAAAAAGGATCACCCAATCATTACAGAAGCACCATCACAACAAAAGCACTAAAATTACCAAATCATAGAGATGGTAACACACGTTTAACGGTTCTGATTCGCCCTTAAACTAACAACCCGAAACTAGAAATACCGAATCCGACCCGAAATTTTAAACATAAAAGCATAAAAGACATTAATCCACCCGTCCCCTTGGTCCTTGGTGAAAACAAAGCAAAAATAGAAGAGACCTAAAGAGAGGGAGAGAAACAAAAATAGATTCCCTTTAATTTAGAGCGAGTCACGGCAAATTTGCCACCGATCTAACGCAACGAGTGCATGGAAGGAGTGGGGGCTCGACTCGGGCGGTCCTCCACTAGGTACGGACCGGCTACGGTGTTCACGGGGCCGGTAAGGAAATGGAAAAAGAAATGGGTCCACGTTTCCCCATCTAACAGCGGCAGTAGCAACAACGACAACAATAATCACTCTCAAAATCACCACAGCAGCAATGGTACATCTAACGGTAATAACGGTTCGCATCTCGTCCTTTTTAAGTGGACCCCAATATCGCAAAGCCAAAACAACAACAACAACAATAACAATGGAATCAACAATTCCTCCAAGGACGATGCTGTGGCGGCGCCCGAGGAGCCGCCAAGGCGGAAATTTAAATACATTCCAGTATTTTCTTCTTTGAGTTTTCATCAATTTCGATTTTTGTTTGTGATATAAAGTTTTTATAGTTATGTATACTTCTTTTACTTTGTTTTTACTGAATTGAGTTTCCTGGTGGTGTTTTCGTGTGAATTAGGATCTGATTTTGGTGTGTCTTGTCTATAATTACTCGATCTGTGAGCTGAAGTTTGGGTTAATAGTGTTTTGAAGGGTTTTTGAGTTAGCTTGCTGTTGGCTGCTCTGAAGGGTTTTAAGGATTTCTCAAGACTAATGTGACTGATGGATAGAAAGAAAGCCTGAGCTGGGTAATTGGGTTTTTGCTAGTTCTATACATTGACTCTGCATCATAGATTGCATAGCCAGTATAGTTTGGGTTGTACAAAGGATATATATAATTAAGCTGCTTGTCATCCTCATGCCATAGATTGCCATCCAGGGTTTAGAAATCTTTTGAAAACCAAATGGAATGATAGTTGAACTTTTTGAGTGGAGATAGAAAGGGAAGAGGACTAAGACTTATATGATATATCGCTATTTTTTTTTCTCTGATTAGTCTAACTCTTACAACATCATATGCTCTTGCTATAAGCTAAACTTGGTTGTGGTAGTCCTTAAACCTATCTGATCTAATCTAGTATGTGAAATTATACTAGAATGATACATTTCATATGAAAATCTTACTGACAGAGCCAAATCCACCTGCCATTTGGCATCAGAAGTTTTGCCTTGGCGCCAAATCTCTTTAAGATCCACATTGTACAATTTGTTGTTTGGTTTTCAATTGCATTGCATGGCCATGATGCACAAAGTTTCTGCCTTTGTTCATATCAAACACAGAATACATGCTTTTGTCTGTTATTCATATCCATATAAAGTTTTGGATTTGGTAATCTGAAAATAGTAACATTCACAGGTTGGTCAAATTGCTTTGCATGGCAAATTTTAGGTGGAAATAAGTTCTAGGATCAGTTCAGTGTTCATATCTTTCAATCAGATAATCTGAAAATGGTAACATTCATGGGTTTGTCAAACTGCTTTGTGTAGCAAATTTAGGTGGAAATAAGTTCTAGGATCAGTTCAGTGCTTAGATCCTGTGTTCATATTTTGATTGCTTGGAGATGCAGATTGCTGTGCTAGAGGAACAGAAAAAGGAAGCTGCAGAAAATGAGGCTGCAGAAAACGTTGATGATGAAGCTAAACCAAGTCAGACTGACCTTAGTGCAGCAGAGCCAACTTCCAGGGGTGATGGTTTTGGTGAAAAACCTGACATTAATGACGTACCTATGGAAGAAAGTGAGGTGAGCAGCTAACTGTCAATGTAGATCTCTTTCCCTTGGGGGGGGGGTTCAAGACAGAGGCTCTTGGTTTGAGTTCTTTAAGTAACCAAAACCTAAATGGCATCCCTACACAGTTGAGTAGAGAAAACTGATGAAACTGAAGTCAATTTGATGTGCCACTTTTATTGCACTATTTTCATGTCACTGAGAGAAGTCTGCTAAATTTGGAATGCTACAAGGAATAGTTTCATTTTCTACTGATTTGCACTATAAAGAATGACTGAAATTTTCCATATGAGTGGAAAGGCATGCCTCTGCTATTGACTTAATTTCAATTTTCTATCTCAGGAGGACAATAAAATAGTAAGACAAGATCTGAACGACAGCACTTTGGATTTGAGTTTGGGTTTGACAGCCCATGATGGTGAGTCTGGTTCAAAAACAAATGGACAGTTGGGAAGAGTGAAATCAAGTAGCGGTGGGACATGAGTGTAGCTGTGCTGGTCGTTTCAGCTAATATATTGACGCGGATGATTACTAGACATTGGCCTACCCATTTATGGCTTATTTCTTAGAGATTCAATTTTCCCTACGGCCTTCTATCTTGCAATCGTGTGTCTTAAGCTAAATGCTTTGAAATGGCTTATCTTTGTACCTTTAGTTTTTTATTTGACACTCATTTGCCGAGCTGACTTCAACTTGTATTAATTTGAGAACAGAACAATCTTTTTTTTTTTTTTTTTGTTGGACATCCCATATTGTCTTTTCCCCTCTAGTTTTGTGGGACATCTTGGGGACAGAATATGTTGGAGATACAGATTAAATTGGTTCTCTCGATAATGTTCTTTGGAAATATTTCTGACGTTACACTATGAATCCGTTATCAAAATTAGTCCCAGCTGTCACAGCACACAGGTGACATGCCTACCATATCTAATGACGTTCGTGAGGATGGCAGGGTAGCTAAAGCTAGCAAGCAGGATATGCTGATACGAGTTAAATTCATGGACTCTGTAACAGGCAGACAGCCCATTAAAGTAATTTAAAGAAAAAGCAAACTTATCAATGAATGCCATAGGAAGTAAATTTGCAACTTCCGCTATGAAATCCTTCTTGTAAAAAGGTTTTTACCTAAAGACTGTAAAAGAGAAGTGAGGGAACAAAACAAAAGCATTATTATCCAATCAGAAATTTTTAGGGATTCAGTTGCTCAATATCTGTTGATGCCTCTACAATCATAATGAAAATCATCATCAAAATACAAAATTCCACAACAGAGCATGTTTGAATATTTCAAAGCCATAGAGGCAAGTGAAATTTAATTAACAGCAAAACAAGAAGGCAAGATGACTGATATTGCCGCAGAAAGCAAAGGAGTTTGGAAGATTTTGTCATCATTCTTTAACAATAGCTGGCTCTGCCTCTGCCTCTGAAAAGTAATCATGTCTGAACATGAAAAAACGTATAGAACAGTGCATCAGAAAGCAGTCATACCAAATATTAAAACAGAAAGCCAGACATATTAAAACAAGCAATTGCTAAAATGATTGGAATAAAGTATCTCTTTGCTTGCTCTGCCAATCGATCCAAAACATGCTACAAAAGTTCAAGCAAGGGAAGGGAAGCAGGTATAATTGGTTGAATTGACTTACTGTATTTTTCGTGCCAGCTGGTATATGCCTGTTCCAGCCATAGCAATGTTTACGCTGAAGAGATTCCAGTTTTTCTGCATTTTAAAATCAAGCAATGACTAAGAATCAAAAGCAACCCAAATATTTATTGCACAAGTTACACTGTAAGCCGAATCCTGAAGACAAGTGTAAAAAGAAGACAAAGGTTCCTATTAAGGCAGTAATCTAGATGTGAATCTACATGCACACACGTGTGTGTTCTTCATATATTTCTCTTTGATAATGTTAAATATCTGGAATTGTTAGAAGGCAGGCAACCCAATCAATCATCAAACTTACTGGAGTGATTACAGTGCTGTAGCGTGACCAGATAATTCCAGTGCAAGTAACCGCTGGGTACCAGAAAATAACAGTCAGAAAACTAAAGGAGGAACGCATCATGATGTAGGATTAAAAATGCTAAAATTAGATGCAAAAGAATTGAACAAGTCTTGAGGACAAATATAAAGAAGCAACTATGATAGTAGAATAATAGGACATGTGCAATGCACAGATATATTTTTTGCCAGAACAACACACAGATAAAGGTACGTTAAAACTCAGTAAACACCACACACCTATTTGCTGAGGGTAGGAAAGTTTTTCAGGTGGTTTAGAGAAGTCGGCTACATTGGCTATGCTAATGCCCCATTTAAACGTTGGTGCCCAAAAGTGAACTGAAATGAAAAAGCTGTTAGCGTATGCATGCTTTAAAAATTGATAATCAGAATAATGTATAAAGCAATAAACCACTTCTGCAGATTGTACATGTTATCTACAAAATATCTATTTATATTTTATTGATGGAATTATCAGAAGCTCATAAGCTAACACCTCACTTCCCTCCATCACTTCTATAATCTCAATGCCAATCATAGTTGCAACCATTCTTCACTCTCAAGTATGTAATATTTAATTCTATAGTAGTACTCATGGGATTTAGTCTTCTTTCCACATGTGCAGCCTACAGTTTATCTTAAATTGATTTGAAAAAACAAAAAGGAACTTGCTCCATATTGAGAATCTATATGGATCCGTTTCTTATCAAAAATTTGAAAGCCAAAAACTTGAGTTTGATGTTTAGAAGAAGTCAATCTTAGAGGGCATTCAAATTAAAGGAAGCTGCCAACAGCCATGTGATCTGTTGGTAGAGTACTAGACTCTTAGTTCCAATGATCACGTTCAAATCCTGGCCACCTCAAAAACCAAAAGAAAAAATAATAATAATAATAAAGGAAGCTCAACCGTTTGCACCAAATCCAGATTCTGGCAGCATCCTCAGAATAAAAACTTTCATCTATATATACAAAATAAAAATAAAAATAATAACTCAATGTTACTAGTTTCTTCAGCCATAAAAGTTATAAAATTTATCAAGCTATACGTTTCACAATTCTAGAAAAACAGATTAAGCAGAAACCCAAACACCAAACGACAGCTTAGAATCTAAAATCCAAACATAACTACCAACATTAGCTCACAGAAAATCCCAAGTCCAAAAACATGGATCTTGTCGACCAAAAATGATCCATGAAAAAAAAAAGAGACGAATTGAGATTTTGCTTTCTTCAATTAATCGCATAAATGACAATAAAGGATCTATTAATACGAATAGTTAATATCTAATTATCGGATTAAAAGAACAAGCGAGTCAACTCACTGGTTTTGGGTCCTGCTGGGTGGTTCCATAGAGCTTGAAGCTTGGAGGACGCCATGGATTCAACTCTTTCTCCCCTTTCACTTAACAAAATTTTTGGTCTAACCAAAAATGGAATTTTTTTTTAGGTTTCAGTAAATCTTGGTTGGTAGGATATATGTGCTGCACGTGTTAGTTCAGCTAGAACGAGTAACCAATAACATATTGCCACGCATTCACTGTTCCTTTTGACTTTCAAACGGCTGTGTTAAGATATTTATAATGAAGGGCCATACGGTGCGTTTAACTTGTCCGGATGAGATTCGTTTTAGGATTCTGACTTCGGAGAAGGGATTTTTGGGTTTGAAGAAGAAGCGAAGGTTTGATGGATTCTCCCACTCAGAACACATCCTTGCAGCGACTTCAAAATGTGGAAAAGGTAATTAACTAATTTCCCCTTTCAATTTCATTACTGGAAATTCATTTTTTACAATACTAAGAGAAATTAGCTTTTGGTGGTTTTGCTTTGATACAGAGAATAGTTAGGGTTTTGGAGCTGGCGGGAGGTGTCATGGATGAACTCGCAAATCCAACGGGTCCCAGGAAAGAATTTATCAACAATCATTGCCGTGAATTCATGAAGATGATCAAGGTTCCTGCTTTCCTCCTTTTGTAACTCTGATTTATTGCATCTTTTTTGTGTTTTATTCTGGTATATTTGTTCTTAAGCTTGAATTGCCTGATAAGAATTACATTAAGGTTTAACTTGTTGTTTTTTGAACTTTGGGTTGAATTAAAAATTGAAAACATTAGTTTTAGTTTTTAAGGATTGAAATTTGTAAATAATGGGCTCATCTCTGTTTTGGGAAAACCAGGACATCCAAGTGACATTGAGGGATGAAATCAAGAGTGCTTGTGAGTACCGCCCGTTTGAGAAGTGCGATTATAGTTCGAGAATATCGAATGAAATCTGTTGCAAGAAACTCGAATACGTGCTTTCTCAGTTGGATGCGATGAAACAGACCATTGATGAATATCAAGCTACAATTTAAAGATGCAATGCAAGGAGTTAGATTGACTGCTTACTAGCCAGACAAGATAGACAAGGAGGTTTCTTTTCTTTAGTATAATCAAAGTTTACTTAGGAATTGTCTTAGTGAACAGCATGGCAATTGGCAAAGCTGAATATTATATGTAATATATGCCCTTTCATTTGAACAAAGTTTACTAATTTCATCTCTTATATCCTTTGTTGATTTTTCTTAGACATTTTTGCATGTTTGATGCTTTTGGTTGGGCCAGTAATCGAAAATTTGGCTGTTCTTTTTGGTTACCCCAATTCAAACTAAATTCTTTCTCTATTTTGGAGCCTCACATGAGCTTGTGCTAGAGTTATTTTTTCTTAAAACCATTCTCTTGATGGACCATCTCTCGGTTAGGGGCTTCTCTGTTGATCAAAGTGGAACCTACAAAGCAGCCCTCCTTAGATTGCTTTGATTCGTCCATAATTTTACTAATTTGATGTGGCTGATTTTTCTGTGATTTAATTCAAATGTTCAGTATTCATTAGAAGAGATCACTGAGCTCAGCTCAGTGCCAAAATAAATGAGATGTCCATCTGATTCTTTCTAGCACGATTATTTCTTGATTAAAGTTCCCATTACTCTTGCTTCCCCTATAGTCATCGCATATCTTGTAAACCACTAATAAAGGTGGATTAAGCCAACAAGAGTGCTCCCCTGCAGAAGCAGCCAAGGATGAGTTTCTTAGGTTAGTTTCAAAAAGTTGAAAGCTGGTGAATGATATTTGCATTGGTGCCATAGAGCCTCATTCAGAGCTTTTAGCACACTCCTGTACAGAAAAAAAAGCATCATGCAAGTTCAGTTCATCTTATTTCTTTTTGCAGCAGGGTCTTAATTTTGTATGGCAGTGCAGCCGAGGGCTAAATGTCATTATTACTTAAACCAAGGGAAAAAAATATTACGTTCTCTTCCAGTGAAGGGTTAGAGAGGGAGTAACCTAATAAAGAAAATTTGACTTGATTGAGCTCATTGATTCTATTAATATTTTGTTTCATAACTTAGATCCAATTCAAAATGAAGCAATATTCTGATAAGAATGTAGAAGTACAAGAATGCAATTAGAATTTCTACTTGATATTTAACACTATAATGAATCCTACTAGCTTAAAGGCCAGCATCAAAATTTAGTCCTAACAATTTTCCAAAATAATTTTGGAGAGGAAGGGGTCATTTATAACAAACTACTTACACAGGGCCCAGTGGGCTAGTTCGTTCGGTCGGAGCCTCCCTGGGAGGACAGGTAAGGGGCAGTTCTAGTCTTTTCACTTACATTCCAAGTTGGCAAAAATTACTGGGACAAAAGGGTGAGCATGGGACGATCAGAGAAATGCAGCCTCTATTGTTGATAAAGCCGACAGTTCTACTTGCGGTGACCCTCGGTAGCACCATCCTCTTCATACTTTTTTTCCAACCACGCCACCTGTCTTCTTCTCGAAACCTCGATTCCATGGCTGCGCGAAGCTTTGTTCTTTGGCTTCACGGGCTAGGTGACTCTGGCCCTGCCAATGAACCCATCAAGACCCTCTTCAGGTCTCCCGAGTTCAGAAACACCAAGTGGTCTTTCCCTTCTGCTCCTGAAAACCCTGTCACCTGCAACTGTAAGCCTCAGTATATACATTTGTGACGGATTGCTTCTGCTTTGTGATTTTGTTTTTCTGTTTTGAATGAAGTGGTACCTATGGGTCTGATTTTTCTAGCTTAATTAGAGTTTCATTGTAATGCGTGATTTGTTTTTCTATTTTGAATGAAATGGTATGTACGGATCTGATTTTTCTAGCTTAATTAGATTTTGAGTGTAATGTATGGCAGTGAATACATTGGGGAATTTTGGTGGAAAGATATATTGGTCTACAGCTGATTAAGGTGGATAATTTTGAAGAGTTTTCTGGTGGATACTGAAATTATGAAGAAATAATTTGGAGCGATTGACAAGGATCAAGTGCGGAAACCGATTTTAGTTAAAATTGATTGTGGTTGTTTGTTGATTTTAGTCCAATTATGAGATATTATTCCCTTGATGCTAAGAAGAGATAATGGGGTACAGCTAACAAGAACAAATTCATGGCAAAAGGATGGTTTAATTTTTGCATATGCTTTCAATTTGAAACTGCTTCATGATGGATCGCTGTGGGAAATATTCTTAGTCACCATTCTTTCTCGACCTGGATGCGAATTTAGCAATTGGCATTGGCATGAATGTGATAGTCTCTTCTTTTCATCAGTTGTGGTACTTTGAGAGCTATGTTCAACTTTTGAGTATGACTTGATGGCTCTTGGATTGGGGTTCTAGTACTGTAACAACTTGCTAGTTTCTCCTAAAGTTTTGTATCTCAGACAATGTAACTAGTGTCATGAATCAACTTTAGATTTATTCTTAAGAGAATGATGCTGTCCAGGATAGCTGATTATTATTCAGTATGATAGCGCAATTATTCTTCAATGATAGATTTTCTCATTTGCAGATGGAATGAGGATGCCTTCTTGGTTTGACATCCACGAGATCCCTGTGACAGCTGTAAGTTATCCTTGTTTTCTTTGCATTTCATTGATACCAATTTGATCTACAGCAGAGACATTCCTCTTTCAGATTTCATTTAGTTAGCATTCATATTCTTTAAAACAAAGTAGATTTCATTGTTAATTCTTATATAGTGGATTTTTCTGCCTTTTTTTTTGGTTTCTTATCTACACTTAAGTGAAATTGAGTTTTGGTGGCAAGAAATATTGCCTTTTTATTACGTATTAGTAAATATAAGATTATCTCATATAGGTACATGAGTTCAGTCTTTATTATATTGATTGTCTTTCTTTAATTTAATGCTTATGCATGTGTGTTTTGATGGACTAACCCATCATGGGTTGTGGGCTTTGTGGCACATCAACATTCTGCATATGCAATGGCTCATAAAGATGCAGCTATGTCACCCTTGGAAATTGTTATGGTTAATGATTGACTGAATTCTTTTTTATTTGCCAAAATAACACTGATGGCACTTTGCATAATCTTTTCACTTTCAACGTTTAAACTTCTATGTTGAGATAATTCAAATACAACATGCAAAGTGTCATCTACAAACACCTAGATTTTGCGGTCAACCTGTTTTCTGACCATAAGCTCTTGCCATTTTAATTTCCATAAGCTTCATTATAAGTTGGTTTTGCTCTGCATTACTTGCTGCGCAATGTGTAAGATGAAAGATATTTTCATTTGACTATTTGTCAATGTCATGCAAATGTTTGTTAACTTTGCTGTTACTCTTGAAACGTTCACACCATGTTACAACCATTTCTACCATTTTCCAAGATGAGGATGTCAGTGCTCTGCTCATGTTGATGCTGATTCAAATGAGATATAATTTGGTTTTGTTTATAAATATAGGATTCTCCAAAAGATGAAAGTGACGTTCTTAAAGCAGTTCAGAATGTGCATGCAATGATAGACAAAGAAGTAGCCGTGGGGACAGATCCTAGTAATGTTTTTGTGTGTGGATTTAGTCAAGGAGGTAGAAGTCTCTCTCCGAGGAATGATACACAATTCATTTCATTACTTGTGGTACGTTGAAAATTATAACAACTTCTTTCAGGTGCCTTGACCTTGGCTAGTGTTCTGTTGTACCCTAAAAAGCTTGGTGGAGGTGCAGTCTTCAGTGGATGGGTTCCTTTCAATTCTTCAATGATAGAAAAATTTCCAGAAGATGCAAAGAAGGTTCTTTTCTTCAAATCTAGCAAGTTTATCTAGTTTGCTTAATAATTTACCCCTGTAGCTTTTCCTGTCTTGTTTGGGGATACATTAGCCTGTCAAACCTAGATATATCAACAGATCTTAGTGCCAAGGTGTGGAGAAAGCATTCTGTGGATTGCATTCAATACTTGATAATTAATTGATATTTTTAAGATAGAACACTGGCATGACTGAAATATCTTTCCAACTAATATCTGAGAGTATTACTTCTACAAACTATCATTAGCTTCCTGATTTATGATGTCATGGATATAATATGTTATCTGCTGTTGATCTTTTGGAGATTATGAATTCTTCCTGAATGACAAACATGTCTGTACTGGAATTTCTCATCACTTTGAAATATGCTTATGGATGGTGATGCCTGAAACTTTTGCAGACACCTATTGTGTGGTCTCACGGAATAGCTGACAGAACAGTGCTTTTTGAGGCTGGACAAGCAGGGCCCCCTTTCCTTGAACAAGCGGGAGTAACCTGTGAGTTTAAGGTATATATCTTACACATTTTTCTGATATTCTGTTGCTTTTCATATGGCATCTGCTGATCTGCAGAAATTCTTTATCTATGATTCTGTAGGCTTATCCTGGTCTTGGCCATTCAATAAGCAATGAGGAGCTGTGGTTCCTCGAATCATGGATCAAGACTCGTCTACAAAGTTCTTCATAGAGGTTTGATTATCTTGAGAGCTGTATCTAATTATCGTCATTGGTTTGTAGTGGAATTGTCAATTAATTAAATGCTATAGTATATGGAAGAGTGACTTGTGAGGATATTTTTCATATTTTGATAATTATAAGTTGAGAGTCAACTTCTGTATTGTTGCTTTATTTAAAACAAAAGTTTCTAAACTTGGAGTACAGAGAAGGGTGTATGATCTAACCGCTTCCCTTTCATAGCAAATTGTTACCTACTTTCATATAAATTTGATTTAGGCAAGAAGGGAGATAGATGAAGTTCTGTGATCTCCTGGAATGCCTCATACTGATTTTAACCATATGCTACTTAGCGTCACATTCAACAGGGAATTCACTATGCATTATGTACGGGAAAGTGCCTTTACTTGTTTGCAGTAACCTTTATACTAAAGAAACTAGATCTTGCAACAAATTCTAGCGGCTTAAACTGAAATGAATTCAGAATGTAGGTTAGCAGAAGAGGTTAGGGAAAAAGAGTTGTGCCGGCCCATAGGATATTCTTACACTGCTAGTTAAATAGTTTTCTTGTTTGAATTCAAGTCACCGAGGCTGATGTTTGCCTTTGACTAGTATATCCAATGAAGAGATGGTGCCCAATACATGGGAAATTATGATCCTACTTCCTGGAAGGCCACTCTTTTTTTATGATGGTGGATAGAAAGATGAAATGGTCGAATAGGAAGTAGGAAGTATGGGTACTGGCCTACTGTGGTTGGGCTAAGCCCAGCTAGAGCCGGACCACTGCGGGAATTTTATTGCCACCAACTTTATTTGATTTCCTTACATTGACGAGTAAATAGGGGCAGTGCAGTGAGACAGACAGGGACAGACGAATCGAAGGGTAGATCCCATCACATCAGCGCACCCACTGCCCAACTGCAACTCCAAACGACGACGAATAATAGTGATGTATGACACAACTTTCATACTTACTGATGGCTGTACCATTTTCGCTCATTACCCGCGTCGCACTTGAACACTCCCTCAGGTTCCCCTAAACTACGTCACCAACCCCAATGTTCTCTCCGGGAACAATAAAACCCCAGCGAAGTCTAAACATTCTTCTTTTATTCTTAACTCGTGTCTGTTAGATAAAGCATTTCTCTTTCTCTTTGTTCAAATTTCACTATGAAGAAGCTCCGCCGTGGAGGCACGGTTCATCCATCACCTATCACAACCGATCATCTCTCTTTCCTTCCTGCTACCATCTTAACCCTTGCGGCTGCTCTTTCCCCTGAAGACAGAGAAGTTTTGACCTATCTCATATCTTGTTCTACCAACGATTTTGGCAACTTTTCGAGCCACCCCAAAAGCACCCCAAAAAATCCAACTAAAAGAATCATCATCAGCAGGAGCGATCATGACCATCCACCTCTTTTTACCTGTGATTGTTTCAGGTGTTACATGAGTTACTGGGTCAGGTGGGACTCGTCGCCAAACCGGCAGCTGATACACGAGATTATAGATGCTTTTGAAGATGGGTTGACTAAAACCAACAAGACAAAGAGCAAGAAAGACAGGAAAAAGAAAGGCGGTGGTGCTGATTTGAAACGACCCGATTTGAGCTTACGAAAGAACGACTCAATTGAGTCGAAATCGGTGGAAGAGAGTAGCAGTAGCGGTAGTGGGGATGGTGAACTTTGTGGGGCTGATGGAGAAGAAGGAACGGATAAGGGTTCAGTAAGGAGGTTTGTGAACTTCATTGGAGAGAAGATTTGGAATGTTTGGGGCCAGTGAATTTAGACGAGAATCGAGGAAAATAGGTGGGTTTAACTCATGCCTTTTCCTATCTATAAGAGAAATAAAAATGAAATTCTCAATCTTTTTAATTAATTTTCCCGCTTTTTTTTTAATATATATTTATTACACTCTTTTACAATGTAAAAATGGGTAGTTTAAATCTTGAATCATCATGTTTTTGTTGTTCTTGAAGCAACCTTTTGATAAAGATATATTTTACCATTTTCTAGCTTAAGCTCCCTTTTATAAATTACATATACCATAATCAGGTTAGTTAAAAGCTTATGATCAGTGTAAATGAGGATGAGGATTTGATCGTTTTTCCACTATGAAGCAAATTTAATTTCTTTGTTGTAATCTCTGTATTTCTCTCACTTTTTCTTCTGGTTTCCTTTTTTTTTTTCGAACTTTTTATGCATGCCGACACTTTTGGGATTGAAATTGGATTCAGTTGAAGATCAAAAGTCGTGCTTGATTTATCAGTCAATTTAGTTTTCTCTGTACTCCAATCTTTATGTATATGTAGTAATGTCAGAATGTTAGAATCTTGGATGAACATGTATAGTATGCAAACCTGGAGATAAAAATATATCCTAAGAAATTGAATCACTTTGATACAAGATCATTTCCATTTCAGTCTAATTTACAGTTATTGCCACGGCTTCGATTAAAGCAAAGGCACCCAAATAAGAATATATCTTAAAGTGCCCCCCTCCCCCACTCGCCACTCCAGTCCAAGCCCCTTTCTCGTTTTTCTTGTTCCACGAAGCCATTTATTCTTTCCGAAAATGTGATAAATCATAAATTCTTCTCTTCTTTCACGATATTGTCCTCTTCTTCATTTTCTTCATTGCAAGGATTTCATTTTTGCCCCCCGTCAGAGATTGTCATGGTTTTTTAGAATATCCAAATTTCCAATTGTGTAATTTTAACATATTTGAGTTAATTATATTTTTGGTATCTGAATTTTGAGAAAATATACTAATTAATATTTAAAAAATAAAATATATAATTTACATCTTAAAATTATTTATAATTTAAACTTTAAATTTTAAAATTATATATCATATTAACTTAAATTCTAATCTTGTTAATCATATCGGTTTTTATATGCAATGTTTAATAAATATTATCAAGTTATGTGTTATTCATCCATATTACTAATATTTTTTAATATAAATTTAAAATATATTATTTTATTTTAATCGTAAAAAATATTTAAAATCAGTCAATCATTTTTATTACTTGACATTTACATGAAGGTTTTTACAAAATATTTAGTATTTTTATTTAATAAATAATATGAATATAACAAAATTATATTAGTTAAATATCAGATAGATTAGTTAAATTAATAATATTAAAGCAATATTTTGTATCACTTTTAACATTAGCAGAAAAACTAACAATATTAAAATTTGAATTAAAATAAAACATTATTTAAAAATTTAAGGTACAAATTGTACATTTTTTATTTTTTAAAATATAAATATATATATTTTAAATTTAAATATAAAAAATGTAACTAACTCTAAATATTTTCTTGAATGGAAACCTCCTCAAGCTATCTATTAATGAAGGTTCATCAACCTCAGTTTCCTCATTAATCACAAACTTATCTTATCAACCACAAAAAAAAAAAAGAAAGCATTTTTCTTCTTTCTTTTTAATAAAATAGCCACTTGCTAACCATTACACCAAATGTAATCTATTTTGTGTAGTTGCCGAGTAGTACCAAAAGTCTACGAACTCACCAACCTTGCTCGAATTTTGTTGATGAACTATTATTCCATAGTTTGTAATTTAATTAATTAATTAAGTTGGAGTTTAGGGCAGATTGGAAAGTTGAGAAAATAAGTCAAATTTCAAAAGGGTGTAGGAGTGATTTAGTCAAAAAAGGATCAGAACATCTTTTCGTTTTGCTATGAAATATTATTGCACCCTATGCCTGTGGCCATATCTTTATCGACTCTTTCCATCCATTAATCATATTGTTTTTTCATATAAGACATTAAATCAAGAGTGATATCCTAGGAGACCGCATTCCCCTGCTTTTGTGTTAGGCCAATCAATACACAAAGAGCGGACAACTGGCTCAAGTTTCGGTGCGATGACCCCTATTCCTATGGCACGCATTCTCCCTCTCAAGTCCCAACGAAACCTTACTCTGTTTACATAATTTCAAATTCTTTTCAAATATTTGACCTTTTCATCATGATAGCGATTTCATTATAACTCCTTTAAATTAACATAAGGGAATTTCTTAAGATTGGGTTCTAATATCTTGTTGATGTCGTTTCTAAGTTTTCCATTGCTTGCATCAGCGACTAACCACTCCTAACTCTTAAATTTCACTTTGGGTTTTGTCTTTCAAATCCATACTAAAATAATCATCAACCATTTACCGTGGACAGAAGAGTGGGATGAATTCGATCAGGTCAGTACGACACAAAGACAGCACAGTGCTAGTTCTTAACCTTTGTGTCTGTTCCATTGAATGACCCGGTCCAAATTAACAAAACTTAATTAATACCTATAGCTTGATCTGTCAATTCACTTACCAAAAGTCAGTATTAGTAATATTTACGATATTGACTTTTTGTGAGGAATACACCCTGTTTGGACTGAGTCAATGGTCAAGTTCTTATCAATGGCCATTTAATCTACTACTTATTAGACCAGGTTAACCACAATAAGTCCAGGTTTAGAATAACAGTCCGGCTTTTTTCTTGGCCACACCATCGCCTTTGTGATAATGAAAGGACCCAACGCCTCCTCAAGTCAGACAGCCAGCCAGCCACGTTTGAATCGTTCTCTCCGAAAATGGCCGCGTGCAACAAAAATAACATAAAAGTCCATAGGCAGGCGCGTTTGTCCCATCATTCTCCATTTGATTAGGGCAGTATCCGAGATAGTGTGGTCTTAGTTCACTGTTGAAAAAAGATTTAGTCTTCTTCTGACTTAATATGCGAACGTCTTACGTGAAATAAGGGTTTAGAAAATGTGCGAAAGTGAAACATATGAGATTAATTAATCAAGATAATAAATGTATCATCTAAGAATATTTGAAGGGTAAGCTTGGCCAACTTTTTCCTTTATTAATGGCATGCATGTGATATTTGCAAAATGCTTTTCTTTAAAAAAAAAAAAAGCCAACGATCTCCAGGTTTAAAGAACCAAAACCTTAACGAAGGTACAGCCATTGAAGGATTGGTTCCTCAAATGTTTAATTTCTTTTGTGATTATTTGTTCTGAATTTGTAACCTGGAAGAAAAAAAACTTCCATTTGGTTTAAAATTATTAAAATTTAGAATTGACCTCAAGATTGTCCACCAGCAGATATCAACTAGTTGACCCATTCTTCCAAATCTTACCTCACATAAAGAATCAAAATTTTCTTTTAAAGTTAATAATTCATAGAAGAAGAGTTGAATTTGAAATCTTCATTTTAGAAGAAAGATATGTTTATCAATGAACTTATCCATTATACATCGAAGACTGGCTCAAAAACATGTTATGATATAAAAACAAATGCAGTCTCTAATGGAATGAGGTGATTCATGTTTATGACTCAATTTCAAGGTCAGGAAAAGTATCATGATCAAACATTAAGGTCGACTGAAGATAAAGTGGGTGAAGATTCCTCCTAACATGAAAGTTGATTTCTCTTTTCACCCTTAATTGAAAATTTAGAATTTTATTCTTCAAGGGCAGAATTACTTGAGCTAAGTAAACTTTTAAATTGGCCAATAGTCGTGTAATCTATTACCAATGACTAAACTTTTAATTTTAATAACCAAAATTCAGTATCTGACAAGCTGGGCAAAAAAAAAAAAAAAATCAATGTGCAAGTGGGTTAGGCTTCTCTTCTCTCCTTTCTTTAAGGATAAGAACTTGGACTTTCGTGGAATTTCCATTGGAGGATTTACCAGTGGATAAACAAACAGGCCTAGGCCCAGAATATCTATTTATCTTCACTGTTCCAAGCAAAGCACTAGCTATGCAAAGTCTCGTTAAAGTCAGTGATTTCTTCTCCAATAACAACATTTTAGAAATCGACAACGACAACAACCATCTAAATCTTATATTCTATAATTTTGAGGTCGATCTTATAAAAGATTTAAAATATATATATATATATATATATATATATTTGGCCATTGAAATCTTCTTACATCATTTATTTTTATTAAAAATAATTTTTTCACATACTTTCTTAACTTCTTTATATTATTTTTATTATTTATATTCACTTTTTTCATAATTTACTTTTAGAAGCTTTGATCGTTTCAAAATGTAAAACTCATTTCTTTTAACTAATGTATAGATAAACTTATGTTTTATATGTTCAAATCATCTCAAATTTCATTTTTTTTTTAATTTAAATTATTTTTATTTTTTTAATCTCTTCTAATCTTATCATATATTTATCTAAGCATTCTTATTTCAATTACGTTCATTTTTTTTCTTTGAGTAACAACATTTTAGAAACCACAACGCAAAAATTAAACGGGGGTTTTCTTAAAATAAAAGAAAAAAGAATAATTCTTCGATCAGTACAACATAGTAAACAATAATATCATTTATACTAAGGAATCCGAGGTTCCACCCTTGTTGATACAGTGATGGTCTTGGCATAGCACCCCGAGTTCGACCCACCATTCGATATCTCCTACTTATATGATCAAAGACAATATCAAACTTACATTATCGTTGTGGCAGTTCTTTTCATATTGCTTTTCCACTGTAGAGTAATTTCATAGTGAAAACTGACTAATCAAATAGGGAACATAAGAATAGTGGGTACAAATCCTAAATCAATCTATGGAACTTACTTTAATAAGCCACCAGCACCCTCTAGCTTTGGATAATTAAAAGAGCATGAAATATGTACAAATTATTATAAAGTAATCTTGATCTTAAAGAGGGAAGAGGAATAGCAATACCTTCTAGTAGAGTCAGGCATGTACAGGTACAGATGAGCTCATAGATACACATCCCTTTAACCGTTCAAGAATGACATTTCGGCTGACCAGTCCTGAGTGGGAAGTTAATGGAAGGCCCTCCTTAACACATTCATCATACTTTTCCAGGGCAGAAACAATGTCACAGAAATCTGGCCGCTTCGCAGGGTTTGCTGCCCAGCAGCGCTTTATGAGGTGTGCAAGTGCCGGCTGACAACTATCTGGCAGTGGAGGCCGTTCATTCTGCCAAAAAAAGTATCAGCATTAGAGGAACTGCATCAAGTCCCAGCATTACTGGAATTAGAATCTGATTTGATGTATCATAAGGTTAGAACAAGAGGGATAGGTTTTTACAAACACATCATAACAGAACTGTCAACCGTATGAACCTGCCTCATGTCTTTGTGTAACCGAGAATGTATGAGTTTGTGTAGCATATACAGTTCAAATTTTGTTTCATACGTTACCATTTGTCCCTTACATCTGCTATTATGTAGCATATACCTTTCAAATTCTATTTCATATGATACAATTTATTCCTTACATCTCCCCTTCAACCCCTCTCCCCTATATAATCTGAAGACAGAGTAGCCTTCCAACTGCTAAGTGGCCAGAGGTTTCATCAGGCATAGATTAGGAGCAGTGCACCTCAAAAAAAGCATGCCAAGAGAAGTGTTCAGATTTCTTTTATTGGAAGCACTTATATAGTAGCTTTAATTAAAATTTGAGAGTTTTAAATTCTGTTGCTTGGATGAAGGCAGTGCAGTTTGGTGCATACCCAGTATCAGACATAGGTGCATTTTGTAATGGGCATAAGTACACAGACACACCACATGCATATGTTCATTGAAGAGTTCAATAACGAGGGAAAGGTTAAAGTAAACAATTGGAGTAACAAAGGAACTAGTAAGTTCCATCTTGCATGTTAAGTTCCAAGCGGAAGATGTTCTATCCCCACAAGGTTCTCAGTGAAAGCCCTAAGATTCTGAAAGCAGTCAGCTACTCGACGGTTGATCTTAAGAGTTTATCTCAGCCTGCTGTTATTTACATTTTCCATAGTGCCTACAGAGGCAGTCCAAGCAGAAACAGATCCTTGCCTTAAGAAACAAGAATGATTCTGCATGTGAAATCTACAATACCAGAAGAACCTACCATCGAAAGTGTGATCATCAATGATTAATTAGTGAAAATGTCCTTAATGGCCTGAAAAAGGGTCTAATGCAGCTTTTTTGAATTCTAATTATAGCATCTCACTGATTCACTAAGGGAGGGAAGAAAAGGAAAATGCTTAAAGATGATTCTAACTTAAAAACCTATTGAAGCATTTAATAAATCATCTCAACTGAGTCCATGGAACTAGTTGCTTCAACTGGAAGGATCATAGTTCCTCAACTTGGCTTCTTAATCTTATGCTGATAAAAGATCGTGGTTTGGAAAAGAACAGAAGCAGATGCAGTAAAGCCAGAGAAAGCCATCCAAAGCATAAAGAAAATTTGATCTTGCTATAGATATCTAACCTTTTCAGCCACAGCAAACGCAGCCTGCACCGGGGTCATTCCTTGAAAGGGAAGCAAAGCTGTTGTAAGCTCCCATAATACAATCCCAAAGCTGTACACATCAACTTTCCTAGTATACGGTTTGTCTTTAATCATTTCTGGTGCCATCCAGCGGTAAGTTCCCATGTTTCCTTTAGTTTCTCTGCACTGTGTTTCTAGACATGATGTACCAAAATCTGCAACCTTAACCCGCATTTCATCATTTAGAAGCAGATTATTGGATTTGAGGTCTCTGTGGATCACACCTTGAGAATGAAGATACTCCATTCCTCGGGATATGTCAAGAGCTAATCTCAGTATCGTTTCTGTTGAAAGTGAGTATGGCTCTTTCTTGTTCAGGTACATCCTCAGAGTCCCTTGTGACATATATTCTGTGATGATACAGTAGACAGGTGGCTTCTTACAAGCAGCAATAAACTGTAAAAGGGACAAACTTTAGCAAAAAAAGCTTCTACTTTGATCCATTTACCGGAGATAAGACGAAAGGGTTGATCCACCTTGTCCAAATATTCTTGTAAACAAGTATAAAATTAGACTGCTCGCTATGATATTAACAACAAAATTAAACGAATAGAGAAACTCCTGAAATTCACGAAGAAAGGCTCTAAAGTATGAGAGCAGAAGTACTAAAAGGACTTGTTAAGTGATCTGGCATTAAGGACTCAGATTGCTTTTCCAACTTAAGTAAAACCACTGTGATATTAATCAGCTTCAGAGTATTGTGCTACGATTGAAAGTTTTTTCCAGAATTGAAAACATAATGAAGTACGATAAAAATGATTAACAATAATTTATATCCAGCAAAGCTTCTAATTGTAAACTACCACTACAATCCCCAAAGGCAATGAAGGGTAAGAAAAAAATGTCACAAAAGTATGGTGCAGAACAGAGTTATCTTTAGATTACATGCTCCCATGCGTCAAGCTGAGTATAACAATTGGTAATACCGTCATAGATAACGACTCAGACCATGTCTTACATGATAAAGTGTCTTGAGAAGTTGGTGACAAAGTCTCTTATGATGCAAATTGGCATTCATTAAACAACTAGACATGTTCTAGTTAATGAAATGAATATAACAAAATCTAAAGAATCAAAGAATGTAATCCATTATCTTCAAAATACTCAGATAGAAAAACATCCTTGCCAATACCACGTGTGTATTACTATTAAACCATACATATTTCTATTTCAAGTCTTACCTGAACAATATTGGGGTGAAAGAGACGTGAGAGCAAAGCTACTTCAGACTTAAACTGCTGCTCAAGGTTGGATCTAGTCTCTTCCTTTTGGTTTGGAATCCTCACCATTTTCACAGCAACAGCTCTCTGCTTGTAAATTCCACGATAAATCCTACTGTGAGCTCCAGAGGCAAATTTATTACCTATAAACAATTGAGAAAGATCAGCAGTCCACTCCTCTTGATCCTCCGTTGAAACTTCCCAAGTCTCCACATTCTCGGAGTCCAAAATCATTGACCATGTATCCAAGCTATCAAATCTCTTCTTTTCCATGTTCTCCATAACAGAATTCAGCTGCGTCTTTGACGAGGAAGGTAGTTCCAAATGTTTGCTCTTCGATTTTCGAAGGCGAAATGCATGGAAACATGAGGTTCCCATTGAAGCTCTGGTCAGGCTTGTTTAGCCCTTTATGTGATATTTTGTTTAAGGAACCGTGTAGGAAACTTTATCCTGCCAAGACAAACAATCAAAAGGTATTTTCCTTCTGAATGTGTGAATTGATTTTAGGAACTGCATGAACTGATTCAAAAACATGGGTTTGGTAGAAGAATGAAAAAGAGAGAATTGATAAGATCAAAGAGAATCCTCCAAGTCTTTGAAACAGATAAGAGAGACAAGGAACCAAACTACAGGTTTCCATTTCACAGATTTTGTGGTTGAGAACAGAGACGGTAGCAAAGAGAATTTCATGGAAGCGCAATGAGATGCATATAGACGAATAACAAGTAGAGAAAGCGATTGTGGGATTTCATGGTTTCATGGAAAAAGGGTTGCAATGACGAGCAGATTCATGGAAATGCAGATATTGCAGAGAAAAGAGAGAGTGCAAATTTTCACGGCTTCTTTGTAACAGGATGAGGAGATTAGGTGGTTTGGCAGCAGAAAGATGAATTCAAAGCAGAGATTTCAAGGGTATCTCGTGATTGCTAGGGTCGAAAGCAAGACTTTTGAGAAATAGAGGAAAGAGAAAGAGATAGATAGAGAGAAGCTTTTTCCTCGAGCCGAATCCAACTCCCTCTCTTTCGTTTCTGGTTCTGTTCCTTTGGCATCATTAATGCTAAATGGCAAAGGTTTCATTTTGATCATGCTTTAAGGCTTTCACAATTGCATGTCAACTTCGTGCGGGATATATGCCATTGCCATGCTTTAAACTTTTAAATAAAAGATAATGGTACCTCCCAATATTTTTCAGTATTCACCACTCAAAAGTCATACAAGTGGCTCCTACATGTGTTTAACCACTGAGTGTCCACGTAGCACATCCTTTCGCGATCTGATTCTAAAATGACTGTTATAGACTTCAGCTGCAAATTGGTTTAAGTTATCGATGGTTGCAATTTGCATCATGGGAAATTACCTCTTTCAACAAGTTCCATCCCCTTTTCCCTCTAAAATTAAATTTTGTTGTTTGAAATACGGGTTTTAATCCCTTTCAAAAAGAGTCATTACCATAAACAAAGACTTACGAACCCTTGCCGATGATTTAATCAATGATTGCCTTTTATGTACTTAATCCTTGCCATTTTTTTTTATCCAAGGGATTTAGGGGAATGAGGACACCTTGCCATTTCGATAAAGCGTGATATTAATCAATGATTATTAGGTTTGATATTTTACATTTTCTTCGACGAGATATTTCGTAGACTTGATACAAGTTGGAATAGTTGGTTTCTAAATTCAAGTGACTTACGAAAGGTATCTTAAAGATTGGCAAGAGATAATTTGCTTTCTTTCGAACCCAAAAAACACAGTTCATGCATGCAGCTTTTTATGATGGCTCAATACTGAAAACCCAAAGAAAAGTAAATAATCAAGACGGGTGCATATACCTTGGAATGTGCTCAAGTTGAAGCACCCGATCGTCAATTTATTCCAAAACTAAAGAAACATGGGATGTATTGTTTAATGATTAGGGAATTGTTTGTGCTGGCAAGTGCAGAGAAAAATGTTCTTTAATATGTTCCATTCATTGCTTTAAGGAGTCAACTATGAACTTTTCTTGTATGCCTTACAAGCTAAGTAGAATGTTTTTTTTTTTTTTTTTCCTGTGAGCAAAATGACAAACAATCTTTCAAAAGCAAGGAATCGGGATTAAAGGCAGACATCATATAATAAAGCAATAGAAATACAACGAAGCTTCCCCTTTTAGATTCCTTTGAAGTTTGGTTCATCTCATCTGAAATTTTCAATTCTTCTAGTGCGAGTGCCACAAATTGGCATTGCATTTTGGAATACACGATCCATTTTTGAAGTCATTTTCTTGGATCAATAGGATCAAGTACTCTAGGGAAAAGGCTTTGGTTTTTGGACTTTGGGCTCACAAACATATATGACAAATTGATTCTTGTTCTTTTTTAATTGTCTAAAATTATAACATTCAAAACATTGATGATTTGGTTTGTGATTAAACCTAAGAAAACAAAAAGTCACCGACCTGACCTGCTTTTGTGTAAAGTTGAAAATGGGGTCTCCAACACTCAGATCTGATTGACTAATACGAAGTAATTAGTAGGTAAGTGAGACGTGTTTCCTTGATAGGAACTTGATGATCAACCTCTATACACAAATTGTTTAATTGTTGTTCACTAATCAATCCATGACAAATTGCCCCTTTTTGTATGCACTCAAATATAAAAACATTTTGCCCTTTTGTGGCCCATAATTGCAATCCCCTGCCCTAACTTTGTGGTCCATTCTTGCTGATTAATCTCCCTTTTAAATTATTAATACAATTGGATGGTTCATGGTTGGACTAGATTGATTCATTAGATTTTAACTTATTACTAATTTAGAGAAGAAAAATTATACTAATTAATAGTAAATTGCAAAGATGAACTTGTCCGTAGTTATAAAAGCGGATGCTGTAGGCGCAGAGCAGAATTAGAGAAGTGAGTGACTTTGGGTCTACCCCACAAGAAGAAAAGGACGACAAAACCCTCCAAAGTCCATAAGATTTTTGAAATCTTTTTATCATATCTAGAGGGCACTTTTGGCCTAAAAATACTATATTCCTCTCGCCCTTTTTAGGACACAGCTTTTTTTTTTCTTCTCTGGAAACCATTTTTGTTTATTTATGCCAAAAATGTGATTTAATTTCTTCAATGGAATGATTTATGGTACACATGTGCTAAATCAAACAAGCTATAGTCGAGAAAAACAGCAATTAATCATCATATAATTGAAAATATTAAACATTACTAAAATTAAAATAAATCCACAGGTAAGGAAACTTCATTTACATTTTCATTTTGCATTTTATCCTCTCAAGAAAATATAGTAACAGAATTAATGTTTTAGGTATTAACATTTATGAAGTCAGCTAGAAGGTTATTTTTGTCTTTAAGCAACAATTTTCTCATAGACCTTGGATGCCCGTGCCGTTTGCGCCAGTACCCATGATTTGGCCCTCAGCACAGGGGTTACCGGTGGCCAGCCAGAAACGAAAGAGTGAATCCTTGTAGAGTGTAGTAGCTTAACATTGAAGTGGCCCATTCCATTTACGGGCAAATCTATCCGTAACAAAACTCTTTATCAACCAACTAATTTGGGACAATAATCACCACTTCACTGATTCACTACCATCAGTAGATGATAATTATTTATCTTCAAGTTTTCTCTAAATTTAATTCTCTCTCTAATTATTTTAGACGTTTCTAAAACAGATTTTTTATTAAAATAATACATTAAAAAAATTTTAAAATTTTTTTAATTGACAAAAAAAAGAAGAAGATTTTCTCATTGTCAACAGGTTTAATTCTTGTTAAGTTCCATTTCTAGATAAGATAGTAAATAATTGGGTATTTACACAATCACCTATCAAGCAAACTAGATACTTCGGAGCTAAATAGTACCTTATTGGTACCTATAGTGCTGGCTGGAAATAATAAAGTATTTGATGGATGAGTGAGTGGATGGTAGATCTACTCTACTAATAGTAGAGTTGCAAGTGGGCGGTGGCAATAACAAAGGGACCAACTTAAGCTTGCCAAATTTAAAACACTGGGCCCTAATTGTGATTGGATTATCCTAACCGTTCAATGATTGTGCAGAACGAAATGACACACAGTACTGAAGATATTCTGGCAAAGAGAGGATCTACAATGTAGGACCCCAATTAACCCCACATCACAGTTCCCTCAACGCCAACGTTTTGTTCAGGCCTCGAGGGAGGGACCGTTTCTTAACAATCAGACTGTGACACATCATAACCGCCATTACTCTGACCTCCCGCCCTCTGCATTTCCGTGCATTCCCATCCTCATTTCCCGATCCCCGTTTGGCCTTGGCCATTGCAATTCACAACTGTCTTTATATATTTTTCCGTTAGTACGGAATTTCATATCTTTCTCTTTTTAGTAATAATAAAGTTCATCTCTGATATACAAGTTTAATACGCATAAATTTAGCCAATTAGCATTAGTTTTGATGGAATTAATGTTTGAGTGACTTTTGGAGATTGTTGGATTGAAAATCAAAGTATTTATTATTATTTTTAAATAAATTAAGTAGATACATATTAAGGATTATTAAAAGTAGATTAATATTTTAAAAAAGACATAATTAAGATTAAATTGGATTATTATAATAATATTTTATACATAGTGAGTGTTTAATATAGTTTATAGAAGAGTTTATTTATTATAAAAGTAAGATCCATGTGTTTGGTACTTAATTTTTAAAAATTTTTAGCTTATAAAATAGACGCATTTGAGCTTTTAAATGGAATTATAAATCAAAGCTTCTTTCAATAAATGCTGATAATAAAATCAAGTATTTAATGAAAATTTTTTGTATTTTCTTTTTACTCTTACATAATTTACAAAATTATAAAGAAGATTATATTATTTCATATTAAATTTTTTTATTTTATCCAATTTTCAATTGATTTTACATACTATTTTATTTATTTATTTATTTATTTTCATATAAAATTTTGTGATTTAATTTAATAAAATTGATTAATTTATTTTTTATTTATTAAAAATATATAAAAATACTTAAATAATTTTCAATATTCTACGATACTTGCGAATTAAATTTGCCACATTATTTTAACTTCTCTTAAAAATATTTTCAGGACAACTATATTTCTTAATAAAAAACAATTTTATTCAAATAACCCTTCTTATACTCTTACTAATTTAATTAGGATACTCCTAAGAAAGAGGATAGTGAGGGTTTTGCAATTTACGGTGCAGGTGTACGACGATGGAAGCGTGGAGAAACGTGATAGGAGAGTAGCCATCGAACTTTTTCGATGAGATAAGGATTGAAAAGTAAATTCGGAAAGAAAAGAAAGCGTGGTGACCGGTGGGCCGGGCCACAGCAATCCTCACATCGCAAACCTTAAACAACGAACGGGCACCGCCATTTTGAAGAGAAAAGGACATGCATGTCATTATATAATTTCCTCAAACACATTTGCGTCATTTCACGCAATCAGACCCCCACAACCCCGCCCCCCCCACACTCTAACTCCACCATTCTTCTCTACACTCCCATTCCTCACTCTCTCTGCTACTTCTTCTCCTAAAACTCCACTCTTGTTTTGTCCTTTTCTTCATAGCAAAAACAATTTTTAATTAATAAAATTGATCAAAACCAAAGGACGAGAAAAATGGGTTCTCGGGTTCAGTCTCATCAACTAAGCAATGGGTTGTTCGTGTCGGGAAGGCCGGAGCAGCTAAAAGAAAGGCAACCGACAATGTCGTCAAGGGCAGTACCGTACACAGGCGGTGATGTTAAAAAATCAGGAGAGCTGGGGAAAATGTTCGACATCCCAGTGCTTGATAATTCCTCATCCAGTGGTCCTCCTTCAAATTCCAACTCAAACCCCAACTCCAAGCAGCAGTCACAACTTCCGCAACCTTCACGTGCTTCCTCTTCTTCTCAGCCCAACAGTGGATCCATGCGATCTGGGTCTAACTCAGGTCCGATCAGGAAATCCTCCGGGCCCATGCCGCTTCAACCCACTGGGCTCATCACTTCAAGTCCCCTTAGCTCCGGTCCCAGGAGGTCGGGGCAGCTCGGCCAGGCCGAGCAAGCGAGTTCTGTTCCGGGGAAAGCGGGGTACGGGCCGGCGGTGACGAGTCTCGGGGAACGGGTGAGGTTTGGATTTAGGGTGTCCAAGGCAGTCGTTTGGGTGGTGATGGTCGTGGTAGCGATGGGGTTGTTGGTGGGGGCGTTTCTGATGGTGGCCGTGAAGAAGGTGGTGGTTCTTGGGGCGGTGGGTGCGGTGGCGGTGCCCATGGGTTTGGGATTAGCTTGGAATTGCATTTGGGGAAGGAAAGGCTTGTTGGGGTTTGTGGGGAGGTACCCAGATGCTGAGCTTAGAGGTGCCGTTGATGGCCAATATGTGAAAGTTACAGGGGTAAATTTTAGTTTACTAGTACATTATGTTTTAGTTACTTTTATATGTCTATTTGTGGAAACTGAAGGCTGCTCTAGAAATATTCGACATGAATTTATTTTTGTTGATTTGTTGTTTTAATTTTCATTAAATGTCTAATATGGTAATTCATATTTGTAATTATTATCTTGGAGGTTTTGGTTTTTCTTTTGTTAGATGAGTTAACGGTTTGATGTCTGGATTCAGTTGGTTATTTGTTTTGAGTTATTTTTGTTTATAATCGGTAATTATAGATTGCTTTTGAGGGATATTTTAATAATGATGGGACTTTATGTCAGAATACTAAATGTGGGTGTCTAACTAGCTATCTTGTTCTGCAAAAAAAAGGCTCATCTAGTCTTGTTCCTATTGCTGAAAAGAAATCTCTAGATGGCGTTGATTAGATGTGCTTTGCTGGAAACAGTTTGAATCTTTATGGGTTAAATGGTTGTTTTATTAGTTGTTTAATTCTACCTGTGATTGTGAACCAGATGGGAGTTTCCTGATTTTGGAGATCTCATATGATCTTTATTTTGGACCATGTATAAGCTTACTGCTCCGTTTTAAATAGAGTTAATCCTGAACCCAGTATAGCTAGTTGATGTTGTATTGGTAATTCTTATCTCTAGGTATATTTATTATTTGTAACATAGAAGTTATGCTTGGTCCAGTCAGCTGAAGATAGGATAGTTATGGTTCTGGGTTTCTAACAATCTTGATCATTAATTAAGAGTTCCATTTTGTGAACATGATCATAGGCTCATGGGAAGGCATGCTTCCCGTACCAAATGCACTGGTACGGTACAGCCTATGGCATGTATTGGCATTTGAAGCCTATGGCTACCATTAAGATCTGTCATTGGTTTGTTCTTATGGACTTTGTCTTCTTCAAATCGGACTGTTCTTTTTATTTGATGGTGTATTAAGTTTCCTAATGGACTCTTAAGTTTTAAATTCTTATATATTGATTATGCTATAGAATTAATAAAACTACAACTCTTATTGTAGGTTGTCACCTGTGGCAGCATTCCTTTAGAGTCATCTTACCAGAGAATGCCCAGATGTGTATATGTTTCCACAGAATTATACGAGTATAAAGGATGGGGTGGAAAATCTGCAAACCCTAAACATCGTTGCTTTTCCTGGGGATGTAGACATTCTGAGGTATTGTTTTGGTTTAGAAAAATCTAAAGAATCTGCGTAACTCAGAAATTTTGCGTCTAAGTAAATTTTCTCTTAAACCACCTTTTCTATTCTGAACAGAAATATGTTGCCGATTTCTATATATCAGACTTCCAATCCGGATTGAGAGCATTAGTCAAAGCAGGCTATGGAGCTAAGGTTGCTCCATTTGTCAAACCAGCTGCTGTAGTTGATATAACAAAGGAAAACAGAGACTTATCTCCAAGCTTTTTACGCTGGCTAGCAGAGCGCAATCTCTCTAGTGATGACCGTATAATGCGCCTAAAGGAGGGGTATGCCATTTATTGTTCTGCATCTATTCTCATTTTGATTTGGTGTGCATCTCAGTTGTATCTTTATGGGATTTATAGACCTAAGCTTTAAATAATTTGGAAATTAATGATTTCATTTCTTGAAACCCTTTAGGACATGTATGATTTTGTTTCCTGGAAATTAAGAGGCCATTTGTTGTGACACAGTTGCATAAAAGAAGGGAACACTGTAAGTGTGATGGGGGTTGTCCGACGCCATGATAATGTACTCATGATTGTTCCACCATCAGAACCTATCTCGACAGGCTGTCAATGGAGCCAGTGCCTCCTCCCAACATATGTTGAAGGTCTTATTTTGACATGTGATGATAATCAGAATGCTGATGTTGTCCCTGTGTAGATACGCTGCATTCCGTATTAGTCTCTGTTTGCAGCTGGGTGTCACAAGTAAATAATGTTAACGATGGAAAAAGGTCAAAATATGAGTGCCATATATCGGTTTTCCTTTCCTGCTAATCAAGTGCATACAAATGGGGTAGAAGACACATAGCACTTAAAGGAAGACTGAAATTACATAATAATAAAGGACAATCTACTCCTAAATCAGCTTGCCTCAGCATTCTGAGTTCTATGAGGGAAGGACTATCTTTCGAATGAAGCTAGAACATGTTGTATTCTGAAGATCCATGAGTTTGAGTTAACGTATATAAGATTCAGGGGAGCCCTAAGGGGTTGAAAAATGGTTGGTTTCTTTAGACATGGTAAAACTTAGCCATGTATAAAGTATTTTTTTTTTCCCGAGTTTACATGTTTTCTAGCTTATCACGTGCAATGTTTTAGATGCTGTTCCATCTGCTGATTAAATATTTTGTATAAAGTACTTCCTTCTCTCTTGCTTTTTCCCCATTTAAGTTTTATTTTTCGGAACGAGGTAAGCGATTGTAAATGATTTAGGGGGATGCCAATGGACTGCGGGCCTTGGTTTCCGGTTAGCACTCACTTATCCTCTTCGAGGGGAACACTTAGACTCTGCGGAGCTGCCATTGAATTCCAAGGTTCTAGTTTCCGGCTTCCGAAGGGGGCAGGCACCCAACTGCGTAAGAAAAAGGAAGAGAATGCTATGCAAGTTACATTTGACTTTATTGTTTCTTCATTTTATTTCTTTACAGAGAACTTTTCATTGCAAATTTTATATCTCAAGGTCAAATCTGGTAAATTAAAAGAGAAGCGCTCCTGAATTTATTAATCTGCCTCAAGTTTTTTTCCATTAAAGGCAGAAACAATCAGTTCTTGCTATAGAAATAGGAAACCAACTGCAAGTATCAAGTGGACATGAGATCTCTATAAACATTATTTATTTTTCCCAAAAAAAATTGGAAAGGTATACTAAAGTCTAGAGGGGATTCCCCGTCACCAAAAGATTTTCTCCTGTAATGTAACAAGCATCATCAGAAGCCAAGAAAGCAGTTGCTGCAGCCATCTCTTCTGGGGTACCAAGCCTTTTAAGTAAGGTCTTTTCCTCGGCAGTCTTCCTCTGCAACATTCCAATTCAAATTCAGTCCTTTAAATGACAAAGGACAGCAATTCAGCAAAGAGTAACCAGAACTAAAAGTACATATTCACTTACTACAGCTTCATCTTTTGTGATGTATGCTGCAAAGTGGGTTGGAACAAGACCAGGAGCAACACAATTTACACGAGTATCTATAGCCATCTCGGCTGCAAGGGCCTATATGTTCAGGTAATGCTTAGAAGATTAAAAAAACTCATCGTTTGTAGAATTCTTGAAAAAAGAATTGATCTCATCTAATGGAATAAGACTTGAACACCAACCTTGGTCAATCCAAGAAGGGCTGTCTTAGTTACCCCGTACATAGCCATAGCACCCCACGGTTGAAAGGCAACAACTGAGGAAATAAGAAGAACTGATGAACCTTTCTGCAAGTAAGGAGCTGCCTCCTGCAATAGGTGAAGAAGTCAAGGCCCTTTCTCATATTGTTGGTCAAAGTTTAACGAAATACAGATTCAGGAAAAGTGAACAAGTAAACTGCTGTGGTAAACTATGCCATAGGCCACAGCCTAATGTAAGACCGGAAAAATAAACAGAAGATACCGCACCAACAATCTAATCCTAACAATATATGTTCTTTTAATTCTGAACATTAGTCATCACCCAAAATATTTACCTGTAGAAGAAGTACAGTTGCTTTGACGTTTATTTCCCATATTTTGTCAAGGATAGATTCTGGGGTTTTCAACAATGGCTCTACGGATGGATTTACAGCAGCATTTGATACAACCACATCTATTTTTCCATATTTCTGAAACAAAAGCAGCAACTCTTAAATCACATTTACAGAGCAACATTAAACAATTAAGATTATAGACAGTTATAAAGATGTTCTCACTACTAGATAAACAGAAACAATGTTGAACATGACTACTGGATTGCAATTCAGGATTTACAATTTCAGAAGATAATTATATGGAAGGAAATGACAACTTTGTTATAAGAAGCGGAAATTTTCAATATTCGATAAAAATACTAACCTCAACAGTCTTTTGAACTAGATCTTTCCTTTGTTGTGCATTTTGGACATGACAAACCACTCCCAACACTTCAATTCCTTTATTCTCAAGCTTTTCAACTGCTTCATCCACATTTTCCTGCAAGCATACCAAAACCACAAATATCCATCCTTATATTCCGAACGAAAAAAAAAAGAATTAATTTTTAAAAAATTAACTAGTTCTGGAAAAAAATTATGTTCAATATCTAAGTGGAAAAACTTGGTTCAACATCCAACTGCAATTGTTAAAATTGAAACAAAAATAAAATTCCCTGGATAGATTAAACTGAACTTATGTTTTTTGTTTTTTTGGAAATGCAACAGATCATGAAACAATAAAACTGAAACATTCATGAAAGATTTACTTATTCAAAGGAAAATGAAATCGAAACCTCATATTCTTAGGAGAAAAAAAAAGTAAAAGATTAAAAATGGTTGGGTTGGGAGAAAAAGAAAAAAAAGAAAACCTTTTTGCGAGAAGAGATGACGACGGAGGCGCCTTCCAAGCCGAGACGCTCGGCGGTGGCAAAGCTGATGCCTTTAGTGGAAGCCGTTGCAATTGCGACTTTTCCTTCAAATCTCCTCCCAAATTTCGCCACCATCTTTGCCATTTCCTAGAAGAGTTGTTCTTTTCCTTTACGCATATCCATCACCTAAGAGTTTAAATAGGTTTTGTTTTTAAAAATATCCTTACAGTTAATCTTAGAATTTGACGTGAACTTAAAAGATCCTCTGAAAAGACCTACGCTTAGAATCCATTACATTGGAAAGATAGAGACAACGACGTGTTCACTTCGTCATGAGAGAGCCACCTCAAAATTTTAAGATTTTAGGTTTAAGTTTAATTTTGTGTGATTTGATTATTTAATTAAATTATAATTTATTAATTATTTATTATATTATTTATAACATTATATTATAAAATATATGATTATTAGATAAAATTTATTGATATAAATATTTATATGGATAATTTTTTAACATGTAAGAATAATTTTAGATTATTTATAAAAATATAAATTTAAAAAATTATTTAATTTTTTAAAATTTTTAAAATTTAAAAAATTATTTAATTTTTTAAAATTTTTAAAATTTAAATAAAAAACCTATTCATATATATAAAATAAAAGTTTATCATATTATTTATAATTAACTTTATATTATTTTTTATTGCAAATGTTTTTCTAATTTTAGCTATATCTTTTTATTATTTAAAATTTTTAAGTGTTGGTGTCATATTATTAATATTTATTTCATCAATTTAAATTTAAAATAATTAAATAGATAAAATTATTTATTTAAAATAAAAAGTAAATTATAATATAAATTTAAAATTTTAAAAGTTAATTTTATTTAATTCAAATTTCATTAATTGTGTAGATATATCTATTTTTTAAATTTTAAAATCTTAAAATTTGATATTTTTAATTTCATAAATTTTTATATTCATTTATTTTTTAAAAAATTTTAAAATTTTAAAATATAAATATCACTTATTATATTTTCTAAATTCAAAATATATTTGTCAATTTGAAAATTATCTAGACACTTTAATTGTCATGTAATAAACTTATAAATTATGTGCTACCCATTATTATTTTTTAAATTTACAAATTTTCTTTTAAATGTAGACTATTATTCTTATAATTTTATTTTTATAAAAAACTAATATTTATTTCATTTCATTTTTCTTTTAACACTCCTTTACTAACTTTTTCTTCCATATTTTGCTCATAAATTTTATTCAATTATCATAGGGTGATAGTATGTTCATATATGTTTATTAAAATTATTTTATTTTTTTTAAAAAGTTTATATTAAAATATAACTTATTAGAATATCTTTTTTTTTTAAATTGTAATTTTTTATCCTTGATGATTTTTTTTTTCTGATTTTTAACCTATTATCAAGAAATATTATATTTTTGCATTTCACATTTTTCATATATTTCAAAAATAATTTGCTTGATTATGAATTGGTTCTTGAGATTATATAATTTGGTTATGATAAAATAAGTACTATCAATTCTAAAGAAAAAATGCTCATTTCATTACTTGTTTTGATGTGTGAATAATTGTTTTGAGTCAATTGATGAAATACCAATGATAGAAATATTATATTTTTTACTTTTATTTTAAGATAAATCACTCAAGAGATATGCAACTTGATTGTATTATATATTATCACCATTGGTTTAGATTTAGAGTTATATACTTTTAATATTTTAAAGAATATTAAAAGATAATTCATAAATCAAATGGTTTTGTTTACCACTTTAGAAATTTTCTTTTCATTTTTATCATGGAAAAATATTTTTATACTTTACATATTTACTTAATTACTTTAGATAATTCATAATTCATGAATCAAACACTTTTAAATTTATTTATTTATTTATTTTGTATCATGAATTAAATAGATTATACATGTATATATTTTTAAAATAAAAACTTTAGGATCAAGATACGATAAAAATTTTTTTGCAAATAAAAAATTAGAATATATATTCTTTTATTAAGATAATATAAAAATTAAAATAAATTTAAAAAAATTAAAATTATAAAAAATATAATAAAAAACTTGTGCATTGCATAGGTTAAAAAGCTAGTTTAGTAATATAATATTTAATTATTCAATCCATTATATAAAAATAATACTTGATTATAAATTTAACTTGAAAAAAATATAACTTCCAAAAAATAGTAATATGGAAGAGTGATACTTTTGGTAAAATAAAATTTTATAGTATAATTAATTATAATTGATCACAATTTTAAATTACATAAAATTCATCAAAATGTTAAATAAAATTCACACTTATAAATAACAAATCATTGCATAACAATATCTTGTAATTATATAATTACCGAATTATAAGTGAAAAATTATAGGAAGAATGCTCCAATACAATATTTTTGTTTTTCTTAGGACAAGCCGATTTTAGAAACTGAAAATTTTATCCTATATATATTTTGAGCAATATTATAAAAATAATTTGTAAATGTTTAAAAGCCAAAGGATTGTCTGGAGTATGAAAATTAGTGTATGTAGTGAAAAATACTATGCAATTTGTTATAATATTTAGAACCTTTTTCATTTGCAAAAGGTAGCAAAATAAGCAAGGGTTAATTGATCGAATAATGAAAAGAAATAAAGGAAAAATAAAAAATCCAACATTTATTTTATCTTCCTCTGAAGTTGTTCCACTTCAGACACGGTAAGTAATAAAATGTTGCAATAGGAAACAGCACATTGAAATTTGAAACTGAATGCAGAGATTGAAGGGACAAAGGAAGATTTCTGCAAGTAACATAAAAGAAATTACAGTCTAGAGGGGTTTCCTCCTGCGACAATTATGGTTTCTCCTGTAATATAAGAAGCGTCATCCGAAGCCAAGAAAGCGGTTGCAGCAGCAATTTCTTCCGCTGTGCCAAGCCTGTTTAGTAAGGTCATCTTCTCAAAGAACTTCCTCTGCAACAAATTCCAATTCAGATTCCGATAATAGACTAAAATTTAGGAGGATAGAGCCAGAACAAAATCCCAGATATCATCTATATATATATATATATACTTTTTTTTGTTACATTAGGAGGGCAAAGCCCCAGTACAAGTAAAGGGGATGGAGAGGTCGAAACCAGACTTTTGATGTTTTTTCATGCATCTTTAACCATTAGGCTAAAGGCTTGGGGACACATTTATATATATATATATATATATACACACACACACTTACTGTGGCCTCATTTGCTGTGATGTATGCTGCAAAGCGGGTTGGTACAAAACCAGGAGCAACACAATTGACACGAATATGAGGTGCCATTTCAGCTGCCAGAGCCTAAAAAGGGAATCAAAGGAGACTAAGAATAGTAGAACATGCAAAAGTTTGAGAGTTCTTGAATATGGAACATAACTCAAACACCAACCTTGGTCAGGCCAAGAAGGGCTGTCTTAGTAACCCCATACATAGCCATATTAGGCTGCGGTAGATAAGCTCCTAGTGATGAAATAAAAATAACCGATGAACCTTTTTGTAAATGAGGAGATGCATCCTGCATTACATCAAGGAAATAGGTTACACATGAACCTTTCATATATACTTATCAAGTCAAACAAATAAACACGGATTCAGGAAATTGGTGATCTGCTGCAAACTACTATGAGCCATGAGGGTAATTAGATATGGTAATTAAGCATATTTAGGCCACTATTGGATGAACACTACTGATAACAAATGTGTCAAAAAAAAAAAAAAAGTGCGCAGAGCATCCCACAAGAAGAATCTGAGGCTAACTGTTAACTTTAATCTTGATTGAGAGGAGTTACCTGTAGAAGAAGTATGGAGGCTTTGACGTTTGTTTCCCATATCTTGTCGAGAATAGATTCTTCGGTTTGCAACATGGGTTTATTAACTGGATTTACGGCAGCATTTGATACAATCACATCTATTTTTCCATATTTCTGAAACCAAAACCACAAACTCTTAAAACGGCAAAACAGAATAGTATATATATTTATACCAATTACCCAAAGGAATAATCATTTGTTGTCAAGAGAAAGGCCTATTCTCTTATGAGCAATAAATAGGAGAAAAAGCCCCCAAGTATATCAGATTCAACGGAGAAGACATCGTCTTATCTAGGCCGGATATATCAGATTAGACATTTTCACTCAAAAGCTTGTTCGTGCTTAACTATTTTTCCCAGTACCAAGCATACGAACCAGATGTTGAACTAAAATAAAAATTAAATATCAAGTAGTTATACTTTCATTTACGGAGATCTACAATAGTTGACTGCTTCGCAAAACCATGGACCTCAATCTCAGGCATTACAGGGTCAAAGTTAGTACTATTTTGAAGAAGATATCATATCAAAAGGAAAAGTTCAAATTCTCAAGTTTAGCTTATTTTCCAGCCATTGGAATTAGAATTCGAGATTTTCGCTTACTAACCTCAATGGTCTTGTTTATTAGATTCTTCCTTTGCTGCGCATCGGATACATGACAAACCACTCCCAAAACTTGTATTCCTTTAGCTTTAAGCTTTTCAACTGCCTCATCCACGTTTTTCTACAAGTATATATAGCTCAAAACATAAACATCCATCATCAAATTCAAATCAAATAAAAAAAACAACCAATTTGAAAAAAAAAAACTATAATTTGTAATTAAGTTCCATCATTCTAAATAAAAGCAAAAATTCACTATAGCGAATTTTTTTGTTACTATTTTGCAGGAAAAACAGCGGTTAAAGAAGAAACAATCAATCAATAAAACAAAGAGAATGCAAATCTTGTTAATTATAGATCACATAACAATAATTTATTATATAATTCATATAAAACTCCTTATGACTTCTGGTGCCACAGATGAAATTTTTTTACGTCGTTTAATCACATCGGCAAAATCTATAGCATTAACCTTTGAATGGAAAAGAGATGATCAAAGGTATATAGAAAAGCAAAATTATAATAGACCTGCTTACGAGAAGAGATGACAACAGAGGCACCTTCCAAAGCAAGGCGCTCTGCGATGCCAAAACCGATTCCTTGAGTGGAAGCAGTCACAATTGCAACTTTCCCTTCAAATCTTCTTGCTGCTATCTTCTTCTCCATTTCCTATAATTCAAAGCAAAATAATGGCAAGTCAGAGTTTTCTCCAATCTTCTATTATATAATTAAGCTCACATAATAACTAACTAGCCCGCCATTATTTAAAAATATATTCATTATATTTTTTATACAAATCCGGAAAATATTGGTCAAAAGGGATCCAATGTTTGTTAAGAAAACGGCAATTTTAAGAAAATAATTCCATAAATTTAAATATTTTTCACATGATCCGATAATATAGTAAGTAGAAACTATAACAATAGTCCTTACTTAAGATTCACAAACAATTGTTTTATTTTTTATTTTTAAATTGTCAACCTACTGTTTAACTGTAAAATACTTTCTCAAACTTTACCCCCAAAATAAGGATTCCTAATCATTTTCCTCACATACGTATATAGTTCAAGAAATAAAAGCATATACCTCCCAAGTCCTAAGAAAGCAATTATAAGTTTGCATATTCCTTTTTATTATTATTGTTTAGGTGCATGCATTCAAATATATGTACTATATAATAATATATTGAATTTCATTGAAACGCTGCAGTCAAGCCTGTAAAATTATCCCAAAAAAAATGTTGTTTTGTTTTTAAGAATTTACGTTTTCAACTATTGACCAGAAGATTTTTGCCGTCTTTAAAAAACCATGACCGTTGAATAAATATATACATTTAATATTTTCCGTCAAAAAATGGGTACATGCATCTCCAATTTTTCATGTAGACACGTTATCCCTCAAGACCGATCCAGGTTTTAAAATTTTTAATATATTTTTATAGAAAGAGACAATGAAAACATTAAAAAAAAAAAAAAAAGAGCTTGCAGTTGTATCTGAATTCCTGAGTTGGGAACACTTTGCAGGCTGCTCTTGCATCCTTTGAGTAACTTAGTGGAGTAGATTATATCTTCTCTGTATGTATTCTCACATGCTTACACTATAAGTATTTCACTGCAGATGTTGATTTTTCTTTTGGGTTAATTTTAATAGTGAATTTGATCAAATTATCATAGTTTTCAATTAGAAGATATAATTATATTAATGTCAATATTAGTACTTATTATCTTTTTGCTTGATGAACTATTAATTAATGCATAATCCATCAAATATTCAAGAAATCACTTTGGCGTGGCTTTTCTTGTTGCAAAAGCCTGTAAGATATTGACCATAGCAGAATTGGTGATAGCTGTAGAAGTCTACTCTACATTTATATATATATATATATATATATATATATTTAATAGTCGCATACATCTAAATTTAAATAGTCGCCATAATGGACCTTATATAATTGATTGTACAAAAGATAATAATAATAATAATAATAGTCGTAAATTTTGAATTACTCTTTTATCATCTCTATTTGACTATTTCCAAAAGACGTAATCTATAACTAAAATCAATTAATTTTTTGAAGACCACTTCCCTTCTAATTTGAAAAAATAACAAAAATGATATACACAAATTCATGAGAAAAAGATGGATAAAGAAAACCAAGATAATGTCGCTTGATCTAACTCCAATCTCCCATAAAAAACGGGTCTTTTTCTCTAAGTACATCTCTATAGGTTTTTGTGCATCAAAATTGCAAATGATTTATAGTAAACCGCACAAATAGGACACGCCATCTCATGAACAAATAAGCTTTAAAAAAGCCTCTTAGAGCATAGATGAAAAAAGAAAACACTTAGTTCACGTAAGTAACGAAAATCGCACTATTAGTAGACTTCATTCATAAGGATTCCTAAAATTCTTCAAGAGCTCTGGAATTTCATATCCTAACATATCGTCTACAGCTTGTATCATCTTAGGTTTCAATTTTTCAAATTTATCAATACTGTAATTATTCAACACCTCCCTATAGTGCTCAACACTTGGGAAATCACCTGCCGGTAGATGGAATTCTCGTTGGACCTGTTTCATATGAAATTATAAGAACAAATAAACAGAGTGGAAAAAAAAAGGAGATAACCAACGGCAAAGATAAAATGAGGACACACCTTTCCAAATTCATCTTCAAGATTATCAATAAGCCGTTGTTGAGCTTTAGCTTTGCCCATCATACTAGGCATCTCTTTCTTGAGATGGCTAATTATATAAGCATGAATTTTTGCAGCTCTAGCACGCTTCACAAATTCATTGATCTGCAGTATGCATTTATCATCATGCACATACAGATTAAGTAAACATACAATGATAAAAGCATGTATATAGAAACGCACAATACACACAAACAATGGATGGGAAATTTAGATATGAAGAGGAGAAACACACCCGACGATCACAAGCCTTTCTTGGAATGTCTATCAAGTCCTTAAGAAGATCATCTTGTTCTTTCTCAAAAAGATCTTGCCCCAGTTGATCAATATCAGCTTCATTAAGGATCTTATCATTGAAAGAGCTGACAAGAGAGGATAGATTAGAATTGCTACAATAATATATAACCCTAAATCTTAATTTCAAGAATATTGAATAAACGCCAGAGCTAAATGGTGAAGAAATTGCAATGATAGACTGAGGTAGATAAGGAACACCAGTGAAATAACTCGTTTTGCAGAAATAAAACTATTGACCATCCAAAATTGTCCAATGAAATAACTTGTTTTACGGAAAAAAACTTACCCAATGTAAACACGCACAACCTCTGGAGTATTCAAAACTTTTCCAAGTGACCACATCAAAGCCCCATATACTCTCATTAGCTGTCAATATGACATTGATAAGTTGTAATGAATGCATCAAATTCTAATAGTAGCAAGAGTCTGCAAATAAAATAATAGAGGAGAATATTGTACTTGTTGGGTATCAACTTGGTGTGCTTTATTTAGGACAACACGTATCTTGTCATCATTACCACGTAAAGATGAAATTACTCGTTTAAATTCATCACTTATGTCTAACTTGTGAGGGTCAAATAGAAGAAGGATGAGATCACATTTAGCTGCAAACCAAGATATAACACCAGTGAAATCATAACTTCGTTGTGTTCTCTGTTTTTCTCCAGATAGAACTCCAGGAGTGTCCACAAATGTTATTTGATCTAACAACTGCAACCAAGACAATAATATCAGAAAAATAAACTGATATATTAATGAATATTAAAAAAGGAAAAAGAAAAATTCAATAATTCTTACTGGATGTGGCATTTGAGAACACTCAAATTTTGATAAAAAGGATCCTCCAAAAGTTGTCAAGCCACCAAATGGAAGATCTGCTTGAACAGCAATAGTGTTCCCTGGTATGCTCCTTTCATCAGGTCCAGACTGAGGTTAAGAAAACATGAAACCAAACTGCATATTGTCATCTGTTTATCATAAATTATTTCCTTCCAAGTGTTACTCATTTGTTGTAAGAAATTGACCCAAAAATAGTGGTGGTCACTCAAAAAGGTTATACATAGAATGATGTCATAAATAAAGCAAGTACTGCAATCAAATGACAAGTTCTAGAATTCATTAATCCAGATAATCACTTTCAAAATCAGAAAGCTTGGACATGGTTTTACATACCATTACAACCACAAATCGATCAGTTGTAGGCTCTGGCCCTATGTGAGCCCCTGCAAGTAGAATGATGATGGAAAGCTCAGCACACATCATAACCAACTTACCATAATAGCATGTTTACAGGAAAGAAAAAGGGAATAAAAGCCTTTAGCTTACCTGGGTAATCACATTGTAACAAATGCTTTATAAATGTAGTTTTCCCAGTCGAATATTGACCCAAAAGCATAACAATAGGTTTAGCATCAAAGTCACTGTTTGTCTGCATGCAGAAAATTGCAGGGTCAATTCACTGCATTAATTAAAGCCTTTGTGCGAAAGAGTTTAGGACATGCCACAAGGAGTGACATGCATCTCTTAGTTCCGATAGACTTCAAACACTACAGACATGGAACCTTCAATTCAGGTTTCATAACTCACTGATAAATCAAAGCACAGTTCGCTTACCAATAAAGGAGACACAAAATCATTAAATCGATAGGCAACTTCCAATGGCTTTAGCTTTTCAATGTACAATCTCTTCAAGCCATCAACAATTGAGGTAACTGCACTTGGAGGTGTCTGAGCAATAAACAGAGAAATCAAACTTGTCTAACAACAAATAGAAATGCAGACATCTTACAAACAGATGCAGCTTAAGGATTTGTATGACACTTGAACATTGTTGAAAATATACATCACAACACATTCTGGTTTATAGATTAATTGAACTGAGACATGTTATATATTAGCTGAGTAACTGAACTTAACAGGTCATAATAGAAATTCAAGGAAGAGTGTGCAGAAATGCAAAATAGAAAGCTAATAAAAGGTCCACTAGTAACAGAAGGTTAGCCAGCAATATCAAATAGATAAGATGAAGCAAAAGCAAAGTCAATATGGAGGCAAAACAAATTCCCATAAGGACAAAAAGAAACTGAGAAATTACCTTTCTTGCAGATTTTGAAGTAAACCGTTTAGCAGATGTTGAAACTTGGGGCTGACTAGATCCTGCAACATTAGCAGTTCCATGAAAACCCAATTGAACAATCTAATGGAAAACACTTAAAGATAGGATAGTATCTAACCATTCATTTCAGGCTCACCATTTGTTTTCAAGTCCTTTTTCTTCAGCGAAAAAAGATCAAGTAAAGTTATCAAAACTAAGAAATTAACTCAAGCAAGTAAACTAAGAAGGCAAAATAAAGAAAACCCCTTACAGCTTTTAAGGCATCCAAACCTTCCAATAAAGGAAGATTAATATTCTCCGCATAAACTGGAATATACAAAAGAAGCATCAACGTGGATTAAACAAGAAGAATATGACCACTAGAGAGTCATGCCTCCACTGATATTAAAACATTAGAAAATAGCAAAACTGAATAGGTTATTCGCAACATGCCTGAATTTTTAAGAACATCAGAGGCTATTTCATGTCCTGCTTGTGCCAAAGAAACCAGCTGGATATCAACAAAAATTCAAACAAATTAGGAAACCATAATATCTCTATTTAGAAATAAATACTCCATTCCATTATGCAACCTGCATAGCAACAATGAACTCTGTCAACCCTAGAAATCCTTGTCGTTTAGAATCTGCAATCGCCCAGATCTGAAAAAAGAAAAAGAAAAAACAAACGGTGAACAATGTGAACTCAAAACAATCATAATCTGATCAAACATTAAAATCAAAACTAATCCTAAAAAAAATTCTAATGAAATGAAAAACTTTCATAGCATACAACTCGTAGGCTGGACGAAGATTAGATCTATAAATATATAAACTGTCCTTTATAATTTCAAAAATCATTTATATATTAAAAGAAAACCAACCATAAACAAGCGCCGTCTCAGCTTATAATTTACAAATTATTGAAACTCGCTAAAATCAAGATATCAGAAATACAATAAAATCACACGTACAATGAACTTGCATAGATTTTAGTAAAGAATAACATCTTTTCTTGACAATTTTTTAGTACCTGCTTGAGTTCTTGACGAGAAAGTTTAGCCATGGCGAAGAACTTTGTAGCATCATTTCCAGTAACACGTCCATCTCCATCTGTAATCAAAGCAATTTTATGTTCAAAATCAACAAAATGGAACTTCGTTTGTTGTAAAAACAAACAAAAAAGATCAAAAAAAAGAAAGAAAGAAAGAAAGAAAGTGATTAAAGAATAAAGGAAAGGAAGAAACCTGAATCAGCGATATTGAACCAATCTTTGTAGATCTTTTGGTGCTCTTTGGAACATGATCCGATCGTGATTGGACTTGCCTCCATATTCACGCTGATAGCAATGTTGAGGTTTCAAATTTTGAAATTGAGAAAAAAGTATGAGAGACCGAAGAGAGTGAGTGGGTTTTATAATTTTTGGTTTTCCTTTTTTGCAACTAGTTTGGCGCTCGTTGATTCATAAAAGGAGAAAAACGACATCGGAGCAGGGAGCCTTTCAGAGATAAAACGACGCCACTTTTAATGGTATATTTGGCTTTCCCAATCGTAGAGGCAACATCGCTTTTAATGGAACCGATTAGACGGTTATAACCATGAGATGATCATGGAAGTATTATAGGTTTTATTATGGATTCGATTTCATTTTTCAAAATGGACCCACTGATAACGATATTATTTCTGATACATTTCAAATTTGAACTTTTTTTTTTTTGGTTTAACATATCAATTGCTTTATTATCAGTATTTTTTTTTCTAACTTCTAGTAATTCTTTTGGCCCTGATTGCTTTTACCACAAGTAATTCTTGTTTAAATGGCCACTAAGGATTTTTGAATTTAAATCATTTTAAATTTTGTTATTTTGAATTTTGATTTCTCTAATCGACTTAATCTTGGGATTCTTAACCTTAATTGCATTGCATTTAAATTTTGAACCTTTTGTCGTTTCAAAATTTGATTGATTATAAAGGAACCCAGCGAGGCAAATTGTTTGCCTCTATTGTCCTTAACAAAAGCTTAATTTGCAGTTTGAATTAGGGCGCCATTTTCCCTCAAAAAGAGTGGAGCCCATAGAAAGCAGCCAATCATTCTTGATATGAATGTGGATCCAGTTCTCAATGGACTGGCCTGGCCCATCTCTAATTACCAAAGTTAAAATATAATAGTGTTTTTGATAAATAGTCATAATTCATCGAAGAGGCATTTGATTCGAAAGTAAAATTTTTTGTTAAAATTTTACTTTTTGTAATTTAATTTTTAATTTGGTTTATAAAATAATTTTTTTATTTTTAAAATTTTTCAACAGTATTAAAATAAAAAAAAGGAAATAAAAAACTTTCATTTTCTTAAGTTTTTTAAGATTTTGAAGGGAAAATGAAAAATTTACTTCATTTATCCTAACTTAATTTTATTTTCATATTTTATTATCTTTTTTAATCTCCTAAAATTACAAAATAAATTTGATTTTTGTTATTTATAGTTTCAATAAATATTATATTTTTAACATAAAAAATGTAGTGAATATTAAAATTTTATTTTAAAAATTATAAAATGTTAATAAAAATCACATTTTAAAAATAAAAAACATAATGTGTGTTGAAATTTTATCTTTCAAATTCTAAAATTTTAACAAAATCACATTTTTAGGATAAAAAAGTAATCTTTGTTATAACTCATAATAAAATTAAAATAAAATATAAAATATATTTATTTAATATTATTATATATAACATTTGTTCTGTGAACTCCATCTCTAAAACCTCAGGAAGGGATTTATTACCTCTTCCAACCCCACGTTGATTTTACTGTAAAAATCAATCTGTATTTTTTTTTTTTTATGTAGAAGCAATTAGCGTTGGGATAATAATTAAGATTGTAAAATCATTTTTATTGAAAGTATGAAAAAAATTATTTTTTAACTTTTTTTTAGTTCAAGCAAAGATAATGCATTATTCATATGTTATATATTATTTAGGAATTAGTGTTTTGAATATCACATGTTATAAAAAATAATATAATAAAAAATTTTATTAATTGGTAATCTTTCATTCTTCTAAGTTAAATATAAAAAATTTATATTTTTTAAGTCAATAAAACTCAAAAATTACATATTTTCCTTCAATATTATTTTCTCTCAAAATCACTTTTTTTTCTTAAATCTCAGAATTCACGAATCAAATATATTTAAAAATAAAAAATATAAAAAAAGTAATAAAATTATTTTTTCTGTTAAATACTTCGAATGAAAGACATTATCAAGGCAATTCACCCTGTCTCGTGAAAGAAAAAGCAAGAGAAATGTGTGAAATGATTTTAAAGAATTAAAATTTGATGCTGAGTGCTTAAAAAATTAAATGGAAAACCATCAAGATTCACATAAAAATCGTCGTATATTGAGCTAGTGAGAAACAAAAGCAATTCCATTCCATTTGTATTAGTCACTTCTATTGGAGATCACCACAGCTCTGATACCATTTGTTAGAGAACACTACAGCTCTGATATCATTTGTTTGGTTAAAAGCCTCAAATCCAATCATACCAGCGGAAGTGAAATCAGATAATAAATCAAACACATAAGAGACAATAATTTAACGTGGTTTGGTCTAATTGACCTACATCCACGGATGAGAAACAAGATCCACTAGTTGTAGAGAATTACAAACTTACATCGAATCATCAACCTCACTTAACAATCAATACTCATAAGACATTATCAATCTCTTCTAGTCCTATGAAGTATTCTTAACACAAACAAACACAAACTCAAACCTTTGTGTACACTTTTAATATAACCAAACACATACCCATTTGCTCCCATACACCATACCTATGTTGACCCTCTTAGTCTCCTTTAGTCCACTCACAAACAAACATACACACCCATAAGACGTAGAGCCCCAATACTCTTATGGGGTGTCTATCTCACAAAATCCTATAACTCTCTTACATCGTTTTCTCATACCTAACCCTGTAAAGACTTCACCTATTTATAACCATACAAACCTACCCATTAAGAATCCTTTTTCTCATAGAATTCTTCTCCTGTAAGTTAAACTTGCCTATTAAGAATCTTTTTTCCCTTAGAATTCTTCTTTTGCAAGTCAAACTTATCTATTAAGAACTTTCTTTCTTTTAAAATTATTCTTTTACAAGTTTTTTGTCCATCAAGCAATATCTAACAAATTTCAAACAAATTTCTTATGAGATTTGAGTCAATATTTTCAATAATCTCCACCTTGACTCAAATTACATCAATCATTTGTCTTTATACTAGGCATGTTTGGCTTTACCTGTAATGAAAGTCTTACAATCATCTTCTCTTATGTGTCTTCACTTTTAAATACAAACTTATTTTCAATCCTCAAAACTTGAACTCAAATTCTTCTCTTGAATCGAGCTCCTTTGGACTTACTTCTTCCCATATCTCAAACCAATCTTAAACCTTTAGCTCTTCCCACATCTCAAACTTTCAGCTCTTTCATGTCTCAAACCTTCGGCTCTTTTCACATCTTGAATCTTTAACTTTTCTTATGTTTCGAACCTTCAACTCTGATACCACTTGTTGGGGATCACCATAGCTCTGATATCATTTTTTGAGAAATACAACAGCTCTGATATCATTTGTTAGGCTAAAAGTCTCCAATCCAATCATACCAACGGAAATGAAATCAAATAATAAATCAAACATACAAGAGATAATAATTTAACACGGTTCGGTCTAACTGACCTATATCCACGGATGAGAAACAAGATCCACTAGTTATAGAGAATTACAAACTTACATCAAATCATCAACCTCACTTAACAATCAATACTCATAAAACACTCTCAATCTCTTCTAATCTTATAAAGTATTTTCAACCCAAACAAACACAAACCCAAACTTTTGTGCACCATTTCAATATAACCAAACATATACCCATATGCTTTCATACACCATACTTATGTGAACCCTCTCAGTCTCCTCTAGTCCACTCACAAACAAACATACACACCCATAAGATGTCGAGCCTCAATACTCCTATAGGGGTGTCTATCCTACAAAATCCTACAAAATTCTACAACTCTCTTACATTTTTTTCTCATACCTAACCCTGTAGAGACTTTACCTATTTATAACCATACAAACTTGCCCATTAAGAATCTTTTTTCTCATAGAATTCTTCTCCTGTAAGTCAAACTTGCTTATTAAAAATCTTTTTTCCCTTAGAATTCTTTTTTGCATGTCAAACTTATCTATTAAAAATTTTCTTTCTTTTAGAATTCTTTTTTTGCAAGTCTTCTTATCCATCAAGCAATATCTAATAAATTTTAAATAAATCTAAAAAAATCTCTTATGAGATTTGAGTTAATATTCTCAACAATCTCTACATTGACTCAAATTTCATCAATCATCTGTTTTCATACTAGACATACTTGACTTTACCTGTAATGGAAGTCTCACAATCATCTTCTCTTATGTGTCTTCACGCTTCATACAAACTGATCTTCAATCCTCAAAACTTGAACTCAAACTCTTCTTTTGAATCGAGCTCATCTAGACTTACTTCTTTCTATGTCTTAAACCAATATTAAACCTTTAAGCTTTTCCCACATCTCGAACTTTCAGCTCTTTCACGTCTCAAACCTTCGGTTATTTCTATATCTTGAATCTTCAACTCTTCTTACGTTTCAAACTTTCAACTCTGATACCACCACAGCTCTGATACCATTTGTTGGGGAACACTACAGCTCTGATATTATTTGTTGGGCTAAAAGTCTCCAATCCAATCATACCAGCGGAAGTGAAATCAAACAATAAATCAAACACATAAAAGATAATAATTTAACGTGATTCAGTTCAACTGACCTACATCCATGGATGAGAAACAAGATCCACTAGTTGTAGAGAATTACAAACTTACATCAAATCATCAACCTCACTTAACAATCAATACTCATAAGACACTCTCAATCTTCTTTAGTCCTATAAAGTATTCTCAATCTAAATAAACACAAACTCAAACCTTTGTGTACCCTTTTAATATAACCAAACACATACCCATTTGCTCCCATACACCATACCTATGTGGACCCTCTTAGTCTCCTCTAGTCCACTCACAAACAAATATATACACCCATAAGACGTAGAGCCCTAATACTCCTATGGAGTGTCTATCCCACAAAACCTTATAACTCTCTTACATTTTTTTCTCATACTTAACCTAGTAGAGACTTCACCTATTTATAACCATACAAACTTGCCCATTAAGAATCTTTTTCCTCATAGAATTCTTCTCCTGTAAGTTAAACTTGCCTATTAAAAATATTTTTTTCTTAGAATTCTTCTTTTGCAAGTCAAACTTACCTATTAAGAATCTTCTTTCTTTTAGAATTCTTTTTTGCAAGTCTTCTTGTCCATCAAGTAATTTCTAACAAATTTCAAACAAATCTCTTATGAGATTTGAGTTAATATTCCTAACAATCTTCACATTGACTCAAATTACATCAATCATCTGTTTTCATACTAGACATGTTTGGCTCCACCTGTAATGAAAGTCTCACAATCATCTTCTCTTATGTGTCTTCACGCTAAATACAAACTGATTTGCAATCCTCAAAACTTGAACTCGAACTCTTCTCTTGAATCGAGCTCCTTTAGACTTACTTCTTCCATGTCTCAAACCAATCTTAAACCTTTAGCTCTTCCCACATCTCGAACTTTCAGCTCTTCCACGTCTCGAACCTTCGGCTCTTTTCACATCTTGAATCTTTAACTTTTCTTACATTTCGAACCTTCAGCTCTGATATCATTTGTTGGAAAACATCACAACTCTGATATTATTTGTTGGGCTAAAAGCCTCCAATCCAATCACACCAACGGAAGTAAAATCAAACAATAAATTAAACACATAAGAGACAATAATTTAACGTGATTCGATCTAACTGACCTACATCCACGGATGAGAAACAAGATCCACTACTTGTAGAGAATTACAAACTTACATCAAATCATCAACCTTACTTAACAATCAATACTCATAAGACACTCTCAATCTCTTCTAGTTTTATGAAGTATTCTTAATCAAAATAAACACAAACCCAAACCTTTGTGCACCCTTTCAATATAACCAAACACATACCCATATGCTCTCATACACCATACCTATGTGGACCCTCTCAGTCTCTTTTAGTCCACTCATAAACAAACATACATACCCATAAGACGTAAAGCCCTAATACTCATATGGGGTATCTATCTCACAAAATCCTACAACTCTTTACATCTTTTTCTCATACCTAACCCTGTAGAGACTTCACCTATTTATAACCATACAAACTTGCCCATTAAGAATCTTTTTTCTCATAGAATTCTTCTCTTGTAAGTCAAACTTACCTATTAAAATTTTTTTCTCCTTAGAATTCTTCTTTTGCAAGTCAAACTTACCTATTAAGAATCCTCTTTCTTATAGAATTCTTCTTTTGCAAGTCTTTTTGTCCATCAAGCAATATCTAACAAATTTCAAATAAATCTCAAACAAATCTCTTATGAGATTTGAGTTAATATTTCCAACAATCTCCACCTTGACTCAAATTTGATCAATCATCTGTCTTCATACTAGACATGCTTAGCTCCACCTACAATAGAAGTCTCACAATCATCTTTTCTTATATGTCTTCATGCTTCATACAAACTGATATTCAATCCTCAAAACTTGAACTCAAACTCTTCTATTGAATCAAACTCTTTTGGACTTACTTCTTCCCATGTCTCAAACCAATCTTAAACCTTTAGCTCTTTCCACATCTCGAACTTTCAGCTCTTCCACGTCTCGAACCTTTGGCTCTTTCCACATCTTGAATTTTAAACTCTTTTACGTTTCGAACCTTCAGCTCTAATACCACTTATTGGGGATCACCACAGCTCTGATACCATTTGTTGGGAAATACCACAACTCTGATATCATTTGTTGGGCTAAAAGCCTCCAATCTAATCACACCAGTGGAAGTGAAATCAAATAATAAATCAAACACACAAGAGACAATAATTTAACGTGGTTCTATCCAACTGACCTACATCCACGGATGAGAAACAAGATCCACTAGTTATAGAGAATTACAAACTTACATCAAATCATCAACCTCACTCAACAATCAATACTCATAAGACACTCTCAATCTCCTCTAGTTCTATGAATTATTCTCAACCCAAACAAACACAAACCCAAACCTTTGTGCACCCTTTCAATATAACAAACACATACTCGTATGCTCTTTCTTTTAGAATTCTTCTTTTGCAAGTCTTCTTGTCCATCAAGCAATATCTAACGAATTTTAAACAAATCTCTTATGAGATTTGAGTCAATATTCCCAACAACTTCCACGTGAAAATAAACAGCAACATATCTGCATGATAAAAAACAAACAAGTACCCAGTAAATGAAAGATTAAGAAAAAATAATTTTGATGCATTGACCATGTTTAAACGTTATTATATAAACTGTTAGTAAACCATACAATGCGTATTATCAGATTTGGAGCTAACATTAATCAAGCTTCTAGAATAGAGTTGTCCATTGTCAAGAAGAGCATTAACAGATTTGGGGCAAAAAATGCATCAAACTTCTAGTAATTTTGCTTCTTATTCAACTCAAATCCTTGTTTGATTAAATTACTTTTTATTGTTCTGATAATGATCATTGATAAGATAGTGAACTTCTCACAAACTGAGTCTATGAAACTGACAGTACCTTTGAGCACCGGGAAGGACTTTGACGTTTATTCTGATGACAATCTGAGTAATTGCTCGGTTGTGGAGGCGCTATTAGAAAGTTGGAAAACGGAGCTTGCTTCTCCTGTTTTACTTTGTTAAATATAACAGTAAAACCTTCACCTGACGTGGGGTCATTTTCATCCCATTCCCCAAATTTTGGTATCGAAGTTGTTCTTTGATGCTGCTAACCCGATCAAACCAAACATAGTCAGGTAAAAATTGCAATGATGAGGGAAATAAGATCACAGTGACTGACAGACCAATCGGTGCTTTCCGTGCAAATGTAAGATAAACAAAATGTTTGTTTCTCTAATTGTATTTTAAGAATTAAAAATCCTTACATTCTTTTACCGACACAAATCATAGGTAAACTGCTTAATTACATTAACAATTTGTCAAGTGATTGAGAAGTTCTAGTAAAATGCTACTACAGAGTACAGAGATATGAATGTTTATGATTTAATACCCAGAGACGAGATTAGCCAAAGCTTATTCTATTGGTGCGTTTTCAGCCCACAATGGAAATGAGACTATTATTCTCAAATGATCTGTTTTTAATCGATCAATACTTAATCATACTTTGCATTCAAGTATGACTCACATCTAATTTTTATAGACAATAAGAGAGCAATATGTTCACATAGAATACTTACTTTATTACCATCAAATTGATTGCTTGAACTTCTTTGTGATTGGATCGGGACAGATGAAGAGAAGCTACTTCCGCTGGCCGGACCTTTCTTTTGGCTAGAGTTTGCACCTCGATAATTTGACTGCAGATGTGAATAATCAGAGTTGCTCTTTTCACTGCCAGATTCTGATGCCATCCTCCTGTGGCTTCTTGCACTCATTTGATGATCATAAGAACCATTTCTGTTTGTAGCATTCTGCCCGCTCTGTCCGTCAGGTTGGTTTTTATCTGCCAAAATGGACTTATTAGAGTCGGCAGCAAGGGGAACCCGAACTGGCTCGAAATCACAATTGCTTTCCAGGTGGCCTCCCCTCATATACATGAAGGCTTCTAGATTCTCCTCAGAGTCATTTATGTTCATTCTTATGGCACCATTTTCTTTGCGAGCATTTTCAAAGTAGGTTGTATAAGGTAGATTATGATTGTCCCAGTCACCAATTTTGGGAACATGCGAGAGCTGTGACAAGCATAAAAGTTACTATAGCATCAAAATTGAAAAGTAATGGAAATAAAAAGATTAACAGACAAATGAAAATGATTCATTCTTAATCTCTACTAAATGTTTGCAAATCTGAAACTGCAGACATGTATAACATTGTTGTTGATACTTGTTCACCAAGCCAACTAACGACAAGATTTCTGGTAGAAGGTAGCAAATTTTTTAAAAAGGGGAATGCCTATTCAAGAGATTGATTCAGAGAAAACAGAGTGCTAAACGCAGAATAGCAGATGCTTGATAAATTAAGCCACTCTCAGATCATGATCTTCATATGTACTCACCAGATTTGCTTGAGACATGTCTCTCTTACCCTCACTGAACATAAGAAATAGATATATATATATATATATATATAAAATAGTATAATTACAAGTCACATTGTTCTTTTAGAGGGGACACTTCCGTGCCCCAATATCATTGGGCATAAATGAGCCCAAAATTTGGGGCGAGGAGTCCCAAATAATCAGAGGCATAACTCTCTAGCTCTCCGCTCTCAGCCTGTTTGTCAACTAAGACAAATAAATAAAAGTAAGTGGTGTGCCATAACATCCTCAACAGTATAAGCTGAAGGTAGTAACTTTGCACTGCACCTTCCAGATAGGATGTGATCATGAACATGAACTAAAGTATTGAAAGTAAAATTATAAACCACACCTAAAAGAACCTCTTCTTTGATGGATGTTGAAAGAAGTTAGTTGATTCTGGTAAGCATTTATTAAACAGTTGAAAGAAAAAAACTATTCACGTAAGAAAAAGAAAAGAGAGAAAGAAGTCCTAGCTAGGCCTTCTGAGTGATAAATTTAGAAGAAAAAAGTAATAAAAAACATAAACGTTCAGCAAGAAGATCAATTAAACACAACTAAAATGCATAATTAAAAACTGCTTCACAATATAATTAAAGACATGAAATATTAAGTTGAAAAAAAAAATGCTTACAGCCATGGATGATGAGATGAGAGTAATAAAAGATAGTTATTTTTTATTCTTGAGAGACAACTCTTGAAAGAGTCGAGCATAGAAATGTCATTTTAATGGAAAGTTGTAAGCCTTGACTTCCGGAAAATCCGAGCCAATTAAGAATCCTTAGATGTGTTAGTACTAGCAAATGTCTCAATGATGCAGTCATCGATTCTCCTGAAAGGCCACAATTACCGCGAGCAAAAAGATTTGGCTAAACCATACAATGATTAGATTATATGAAAAAGATTTACATGAAATTTGTTAGATGAAATTTATGAAATTTTTTTATTAAAATTGATTAAATAAAAATTTAAATAAAAAATCAAAATTAATAACTTGAAAGTTTTTATTAAATAGATCAAGTATACAAAATTTGAAAAGAATTTAATAAATTTTGATATGTTTTTTTTAAATAAGCATATTTAATAAAAATTTTGATAAAATTTTTATCATTAAATAAGTACGAATCAAATTTAATTATAAATAGTATTTTTAATAATATTTTTTTATATATTATTTATTTATTTTATTAAATTCTATCAATTTATTTTAATTTTTTATTAAAATTTTCATTAAATCATTTTTAATAAAAAATTTATAAACTTCGTCTAAATAATTTTATATATAGCTTTTTATTTTTCGATTATATCAATTATCAAAGTAGTTTTAGGCTTTGAAAAGACAAAGTCAAAGCAAAATTAAAACACTCTCAAAATAGAAAATTAAGAGATGAAAATATTTTTGAATGATTCCGCATGATCATGCCTTTGTCCTTCTATTCTCTTTGCTTCCACAATTGTATTTTACATTTTGCTTGGCCGGAGAACGGAACTGCGGCGTCGTACACCGACATTAGCTGAGAAGACAAGCTGCTTGGGTTCCCATTTTTATTTTTTCGGGGTTAAAATATGCTATAGTCCCTATATTTATTGATTTTTTGAAATTTAGTCCATTTAATATTATTTAAAAGAATTTAGTTTTTATAATAGTATTTTTTAAAAATTTCAGTCCAACTGTTAACAGTGTTAAATTTTACCCTTTAAATAGCTGACATGGCTACTAACATAATATTTTTATTGGTTTCTAACATTATTAATATTACCTTGTATTAAAAATTTTGGTTACGTGACTACCGAAAAACTATGTTAGCATTAACACAAATATCTCTTAAACTTAATAATATCTTAATATAATTAATAAAAAAAACTCTGAAAATAAAAAACGGTTAAAATCTTGAAAGCTGAAAAAATTCTTCACCCAACAAAAAATCCTTAAATCTTCAACCCTCATCGAAAGGTTTAGGTGCTAATCCCATTGATTCTTTTGTAGAATTAACGAAAACAAAAAGTTTCAAAAGAAACACATTTGTTTCAATAGTTGCTCCTATTGCAAGTTTTGCGGTTCTTGCTTTTCTGTTCATTCCTCTATCCATCTACTATTATAAAATGAGAAAAAACAATAAGTTGGCTTCAACTTCCCTAGTAATCCACTCAAGGGATCCATTTGATTTAGAAAATGTGGTTAAAATTGTTGCCAATAACACTAATGCAAGCACTTCTACAATAATTGGGAGTGGTTCTGCAAGCAAAAATAATAGCATTGGGGAGCCTCGTGTCATTGAAGTTGAAAATTTGATTATATCAGTTAAAGTTCTTAGAAATGTGAAAAAAAAATCTTTGCTCTAGAAAATGAGCTTGGCCGTGGTGGCTTTGGAGTAGTTTATAAAGGAGAACTAGATGATGCAACACAAATTATAGTTAAAAGAATAGAGACTGATGTGATTACAAGCAAGGCTTTGGATGAATTCTATTCTGAAATTGTCGTTCTTCAAAGGTTCATCACTACTATTTGGTTTCACTTTTGGGTTATTCTATGTGGGATTCTGATTAGGATTGAAGATTTGGAGATTTTTTGCTATATAAAGAACTTTTGAAACTTTTTGAGTTTCAATCGGTCATTTTTTATTTTTAGAATTTTTTTAATTAATGATATTAAGATATTATTAAGTTTAAGAAATATTTATGTTAATGCTGATGTGGCTTTTTGATAGTTCATATATTAGAATTTGTAATACACATCAGCATTAATAATGTTAAAAGCCAATGAAAATAACATGTTAGTAGCCATGTCAATCATTTGATAGATGAAATTGAATATAATTAATAATTGGATTGAAATCTTTAAAAAATAATATTATAAGGGTTAAATATTTTTAAATAATATTAGAGGGATTAAATTCTTAAAAATCGATAAATATAAGAATTTATGTCACATTTTGATTTTTTTTTTCTTTGGTCACATGGATTTTTCATTTGGACCGACAAGTCCACTCATTTTTACACTTGGCATGACATGGTAAGGTAACAAGTTTTAAAATTTTTTTTAATTGAGTAAATGGTTGATTTTCAAATTCAATTTTGAATGTATCGATGAATAGTTGGTACACTATTCCCCTTCAAACACCTTGTGGTGATGAGGTCCACATGTAAAACCCCATAAGGAAGGATGTGAGGAGGAGCATTACAAAATAAGATGCCACCATTAAAATCCTCATAAGAAAACAACATTTCTGTTTAGAATCACTAATTCTGACTACAAATTTAATTAATGACAAATGAGATTTCACTCAAGCAATTAAAATATGGTAAATTAATTAACCTATATAGCTAGACTGTCGAAATGGATTTAGGGTTGGCAACAGGTAAGATCGGGACAGATTTTTATTAGACTCGAACCCGACTTGATTTTATATTCATTAAATCCGAATCCAATCTGACTCAAATTTTTTTTTTTTTATACTTGATCTGACCTGATTCAATATTATATAAAACGTATATAATTCGACCTGAAATTAATAAAATATTATTTTTTAAAATATAAAATATTATATATTTAAATATATAATTATATAAATATATATAATAAAAAAAATTAAAATAATTAATTAAAAAATAAAATTTATATAATATCAAGTCCAGTCGGTCGAGTTAGGTTTGCTTAAAATCCGAACTTAACTCAATTTTGATTTTTTCTTAATATTACTCGATCCGAAATTCAATTTAAAAAAAAAAATTCTATGAGATCATGTTAGATTGAAACCTACCGGAACGGGTTGGATTACCAGCCCTAAATGGATTATATTGACAACTATAAATATTAATTAATCCCATTAATACAATAACTCTAGACTTTAATTAATCATTTTAGCAGATACGGACCTATAAATAAGTACACAGTGCATGCTGCATAAAACAAACAAGTGCTCCAACAGAAGTAAAAAATTTTTACTATCATTTTTAGCGAGAATAATTAAGGTTGAAAATGGGGAAGAAAATGATGGGTTTCTCAGCTTGGTTTCTGTTGGTTTTAGGGTTAGTGTTTTTGGTTGTTAGTAATAACTCTGTGAATGCAGATACGGAAGCAACATGCCTGGACTGCGTAGTGAATTTTCTAAACTTTTGCAGGCCCTACTTGGTGGGTAAAGCAGCCACACCCGACGTTAATTGCTGCATAGGTTTGTCTAACACAGTCGGTGGCATTACCAAACCCAAAACCCGCAAGGATATCTGTGAATGTCTTCACTATTATGCGGTACTTGACGGAGATAAGCCTGATAGAGCTAAGCAAGTGCTCAAACATTGTAATATCGAGTTCCCCGTGCCCCTTGCTCCCTCCGCCGACGATTGCAAGAAGTAATAATCCCTCAATGTCCGCAGAAATTATCGTTATATGTTACTTTTTTTTTATCAATTATTATTATTGTTTTTTGGATAAATTGTGTCACTGATTGCATTTATGAAGAAACTGACTCGTTTTAATTTCTTGACTGATTTGCAGCATCCATTAGAAAATCGAAGTGCGGTAGCTGAGTGGATATATCATATGTCTGTCCCGAAATAAAATGAAGATCACAGCAATAAATTTGAAAAAGTTCTCTAATATTGTAGTTGAAACCGAATAGCGTTTCATTTCTTTTCATCTCGGTCTTGCCTATGCGGACAGGAATTAGAATATACAATATGGAATATTATAAGTGGAATTCTCTCAGGTTTTCTGATATCTCTACCTCTTAACAGTATTACAAGTTAACGTTTCTTGCATGATCAACTGAACAAGAACCAAAATAGGGTTTTACTTTATCTCGAGAGCAAAAGGCCCGATGCAACCCAAATTATTTGCTTGTGGAAGAAAATGAATTAAAAAAAGAGAAACTTTCCACCCATTAAGATTGAAGAGATTAATGTCGAAGCAGAATTGAACAAAGTATATGTGTTTAGTTGTTGACACAATGCTGTGATTAATTATATTTGAGCAAACTTGGACAAAAATCTATGAATAATACAATTAAGTAACAAATTTGTTAAGAGAATCCCTTGCGTAAGGGGACACTTTCAATTATATAAACAGTGCTGTCACAAGTGGATTGAGGAATGGTGAGCTTGACCCTGAGAAAAGGCTTTACCCTGGTGGATTAAATAAACAATCCCTTATATTGAGGTTTTACTCCTCATTGATAAGCCTTAACGAGAATTACAAAAAGTATATCAAGTAGTAAATTAACTTCCCTTTTATGATGATTGGCGGTTGGACAGTTGCTAAATATTCATTTTCTTGTAGTGTCAGAGTCTTTAAAACAAGGAAGTGACACCACAAACGTTAATGATGCGCAAGAAACTCGACTTTTAATGACAAAACCTGAGTTATCCCTATCTATAAGTTTCAAGTTGCAAAGGCCTCACCCAATTTCCTTGCAATAATTAACAAATTAAGATCCAAGAAGAAGAATTGGATGGAGAAGGGAAGAGTCGCACAAGGGGACACCAATCAGAGAAGATGGATATATTTCAAATACAGAAATTTCTTAAATATCCAAAAGCTGCCTTATATTTATTGCGATTCCAGAGTATATACATATGATACTTAATTTTTGCAAGCCATTAATCAAAGACAATATATATATGTAATAGGTCCATCAATGATAGTATATAGTAATTTTTATCTATCTAAATTAGGCTGATAAATATACATTCTGGATCACTGCTCGTACGTACTTTCCTTAAGCTTTGGAGTAATAACTGATATGTGTTTGGGTGTTAAGCAAGTGACTGAGGGAGTTGTTAAGGTGGAAGAGACATGAGCATTATTGCATTCAGCTTTTACCTTCTTTCCAGGAGTTGATGAAGTTATCATATTGTTGCTTAGAGTGATACCAGTGCAAGGAACTATACTACTGCAATCCAGTTTGATAGCAACCTCAGTAGCGGATGTCCCTTCGAATCCACTAAATCTCACATTGCTTATCTTTACTGCTGTTTTCTGCATGTATACATTATAATTAATTAATTAGTAAAATTTTATTCATAAAAAAAAAATTCCAACACGAATTGTATATGTTTACCCCTTCAGGTTGACATGTTTGGTGAGGACAATAGTGTTGGTCAATAATGATCGGGTTTTCAGCGTTTATGAGTTGAACGCCAACAAAGGAAATATCCCTTGCAAATCCAGCACCACCCTATATATAGAACAAAAAAATAAAAAAAAAATTAATGTTATTGAGAAGAAATTAAGAAGTTTTCTTGATAAATCTTTTAAGAATGATAATAAAAATAACTACCACCCATTTCTTGATTCTAGCTCCATTTTGAGTTCCATTGAAGATAGAATTCTCCACTTGCACCCATTCCACTGTTTCGTTTTTCCCATTTTTTCCAAGACTTCCCACGCTACAATCATACGCAGAAGTTGATGAATTATTTTAGAAAAAATTCATATATATATATATATGCTAAATTAATTAATAAAAAATAACCTAATTCCATGGCCTGGTCCACATGTAAGGGGGGTGATGTTTATATGAGAGGAACCGCCATTGATAGCTATGCAATCATCTCCTATATTATAAATAAAATAATAATTTTTAAGAAAAGACATACTTACAATGTGAAAACAACATTATATAAAAATACGTAAGTCTCTCTCTCTCTCTCTCTATATATATATATATATATATGTACCGGTTCCAAAGAAACAGTCTGAAATTCGAAGAGCAGTGGATGAGGAGATGTCAATCCCATCAGTGTTGGGACTATCTTTGGGTGCAATTAGTTGAATATGTGATATATCCACTTCCTTGCACCTATTCACGCTTACGTGATTTCCAGGACTATTTAAAGAAGTGATTCTATGAAAATTAAGATTATTGCAATTGTCGAAAGAAATAACCTGCATCAATAATTAATTTCTTAAAGAAAAATTAATAGGGTAAGATAATTTATGAAATTAATTAATCTCAACTTTATGATATGCAAGACAAACTTACTGCTGGTGCACACTCATTTGGTGTCTGAAAAATAAATTGAATTAAAAGAATTATTTAGTCAGTTTATAATTAATTAATTAATGGACAATAAAATGTAAAATAAAAACAAAATTGAGCATGCATTATACTTTAATCCACCAAGCAGCACCGTTGCCATCTATTTGGCCTGTTCCATCAACAGTAAGACCAGCTACGTTTGAGAAGCATAACTAGCAACCATTATCACATTTTGTCCACGTATTGCTTTTTGGTGCAATAATGTTTCCAAGGACCTGAAAATATGTATACAGTAGGACATTTTTTTTGTATGAAAATTTGGTAAAAAAGGTTGAAAATTTACTCACCATTAATCATAGATATGTTTCAATAATTCAACACTATACCCAATTACCCAAGTACTAATTTTGTTCGTGTGTATTAAGCTTAGCTCTTTTCTTTTTTTTTTTTTTGTTTTTTCGAGCAATTGATAAATAAATTTATAAATAAGCAAAAGATCATAAACCTAAGTAATGAGGCATATGCTAAGAGTTGAGAGAGATATCGTTTCCTTTTTTGAAAAGCACAAAAGAGCTTGAAAGCACTAGGCAATGTCAGATCAAGCTTTACTGCATGCCACAAAAGGGAGACAAAGTTGAGAAAAAAAAAAAGATAACTTGGTAGCAAAGCTGAAGGTCGTCTCATTAGACAAAGCCTCAACCAAATTGATGAAGGAACAAGTTGAGCTAAAACTAAATGATACTTGGCTAAAATTACGAGGTTGAGGTCTGAGTTGGATGCTTGAGGCAAAAGGGAAGAGAACCTACAGATTAAGGCTGAAAAAAAGTATAAAACCTTCAATGAGTATCTTTGGGTGAAGTAGAGTTCTCCAAGAAGAACATTCTTGATGCCTTATAACTAGCCAATGAATAGGTGTAATTCAAATTCTCCACTTTCAACCTCAACCTCTTTGATATTGATATCAAGAATATCAGATTAAGGTTTGTTCCAAATCAACCTAAATAACATGAAAAAGAAAATGAAAAAAAAAAGAAAAAAATGAGAAAGATCAAGCTTAGAGAAAAGTTAGAGACTGTCATAGGAATAAAAGAGGAAGAAGTAGAGGTTGTTGAAGTTAAGGTCATTCTTCCCACTACTGCTGACGAGTGCATTTCTCCAACTACCACTGGTAAGGGTACTCCTTCCGCTGCTGCCACTATTGATGCATAAATTTAATGATTTTTGTTTTTGATTTTGTAAACTTTTTATGAACTTTTTGTAAAATTTTGAAATCAGGTTTTTGTAAAGACCTCCCATACTCCAATTAATATAATGAGTTGCATCAGAATAGAAAGGAAAATTTTTTAAGTTACAGCTCGATTTTACTGTTGTTTTTTCTTTATTTGCATTAGTTCGAGAACGATTTACCGATCCAAAGATAGATAATTAGATTGTAGACTTGCATAATTACTTTAGATCATATTAATGTAATTATGAGTTTCAAGTCAGATTTCTTTAAATGACTTTAAATCACTTGTAGACAAGTTTACTAAAAATAATTTCATATGTGAGCTCAGTTAAAACTGATCTAATGATAATAAACCTTTAATTGCATTTCATATTCTTAAGATAAAATAACACAAGTGTAAGCTCAATTTGCTTTGATTTACTAGTAATCAAGTTGATTTGAATTTCATATACTTGGGGTGGCAGTGCTATTCATAAAACAGTACAAGTGTGAGCTCGATTTACACTGAGCTACTGATAATAAACCTTTAAGTTGTTTGCATTCTATGTCCTTGGGATGATGTCGTCGTTTAGATTTTTTAATTTGTAGGTTGTATCGTGGATAACCTCTTTAACAATATATGGTCCTTCCTATATTAGGGCCAACTTGCCACATCGGTCATCAATCCTTGAAGCTTCGACTTTTTTAAGTACCAAGTCATCTTCCTTGATGTGTTTATGCTAGACCCTCTTATTATAATAATTAGCTACCTTTTGATGGTAGGCTCCAATTTGAGTCAAAGCTATGTCTTTTTGTTCTTCAGTGAGGTCCAAGTCAGCCTTAAGTGTCTATATTTTTTCTTCTGATGCTAATTCAACTCTTAAGCTCGGTAGGTCAATCTCAATCGGCACTATAACTTCTGTTTCAAAAGCCAAATGAAATAGGGTTTCACCAGTAAGGACCTTTGTGGTTGTCTTCAAGGCCCACAAAACTTCTAATAACTCATCAGCCTATTTTTTTTTTTGCTGCATTGAGCCTCTTTTTCAAAGTTTTAGTATTGTCTTATTTGTAGCTTTGGCTCACCCGTTGAACTAAGGGTGGGTAACCAACATGAACTTGAGGTTGATGTGAAGATTTGAGCACCATTCTCTGAACATCAGATTATCAAATTGTTTGTCATTGTCTATTATTATGGACCGAGGTAGCTTGAATCTGCAGACTATGCTTTTCCACACAAACTTTCCAACTTGCACTTCCATGGTAGTGGCTAAGGCTTTGGCTACCAATCATTTTATGAAGTAATCTACTGTCACTAAGACAAATCTCCTCTAACCTATGGCTAGGGTGAATGGTTCAAGGACACCAATCATCCACTACATGAATGGCCACGGACTAATGAAAAGAGTGAGCTCGATCAAAAGGAAATGTTACACATAGGCAAACCTTTAACATTTGTCACATTTTTTCACTAGTTTGGTTGCATCTCTCTTGATAATAGGCTAACAATTACCCTGCTTTAGCACTTTATAAGCCAAAGGTTGAGGTCTGAGGTGTTTTTCACATAGTCCTTTTTGGATTTCTTTCATGACATGCTCTACTCCTCTTCATCAACACATCTCAAGTAGGGTAGGATAAAGGATCTCATCCCATGTATAATTTTTCCTTAATCATCATGTATCTAGGTGCCTTGATCATCAGTGCTTTAGCTCAGACTCTTTCATCGGGGTAACATTCCCATGGTCAGGTATGTTTTGATTAGTATTTTCCAGGTTTTTTTTTATGATCTATCCCATGAGCTTATCCTCGATACTTTTATGCACTAGTTCCTCTACTAGAACTTCATTCAGGCTTCTCATTGCTGCTCTTGAAGTCAACTTATATAGGGAGTCTATTATTGAATTTTTTAACCTCGATATCTTTTTCACTTTGGCTTTCTTGAAGCCAACTATCAAGGCTAGTGCTCTTTGAAGGTACTTTTGGATTCCATTATCTCAAGCTACGAACTGCTTATTTATCTAACCAACAACTAGTTAGGAGTCACTATAAGTGGTTATTTGTTGAACATTCAACTCAGTTGTCAACTTCAGGCCTATTATCAATGCCTCATATTTTGCTTCATTATTAGATGTCCTAAACTTGAATCTCAAGATTTATGGATACTGTAGCCCTTTCAGACTTATTAGAATGAGGCTAGCTCCTCTGTCCTAGCTTGTAGTAGATCCATCGACATAAAGCTTTCAATCATCCTTATCCAAAGTTTTCTTTTTTTTTGTCAGGCTATCTTTCCACTTATATCGAAGTGCGCTCCACTACGAAGTCTGCCAACACCTACGACTTTAATATCGATCTAGGTAAAAGCTATTGATCAAATTTGTTAAGCTCTATTACCCATTTGATTAGCCTTTTTGACATTTTAGGTTTTTGTAAGACTTGCCTTAGTAGTTGATTGGTCAAAATATGGATCATGTTGGCTTGGAAGCATTGCTTGAGTTTTCTGATTGAGGTGACCATGGCATAGGCCAATTTCTTTATACTACTGTAGTTAACTTTAAGCCCTATCAATACGTTGTTTACAAAATAGATCGATCATTGTTTCCTCTCTTTTTCTCAAAGTAAGATCGAGCTGATAACCTGATCTATGGTAGCCAAATTCAAGTATAATGTTTTACCAGTCCTAGATTTTGATAAGATAGGTAGAGAGGATAAGAACTCTTTAAGTTCATCAAAATATTTTTGGCATTGAGGAGTCCATATAAAGTTAGAGACATTTCTAAAAGTTTTAAAGAATGGTAGACATCATTCTATTACTCTGGACATGAATCGATTGAGTACAGCTATTGTGCCTATTAGCCTATGTACCTTTTTTACTAAAATCGATGCTTTCATTTTTAAAATCACCTGAACCTTCTCTGAGTTTACCTTTATCCCTCTTTGGTTGATCACTTAGCTAAGAAACTTATCCGATGTAACCCAAAAAATGCATTTGCTTGGGTTAAGTCTCATGTTGTACTTTCTCAAAGTGTTGAAGGTTTCTTTAAAGTTTTTCAGATGCTCGATCAAGCTTTTGCTCTTAACTATCATATCATCTACATATATTTTCATATTACGATAAATTTAGTCTTTGAATACCTTATTCACCAATCTCTTGTAGGTCATCCCCACATTCTTTAATCCAAAAAGCATGACTTTATAGCAATAAAAGCATTTCTCAATAATAAAAGCTAATTTGTCCTCATTTTCTTTCAATATTTTGATTTGATTATAGCCGAAATAAGTGTTTATGAAGCTGAGAAAGATATGCTTGGGACTATCATCCTTTAACCGATCTATGCTAGAGAGGAAGAAGTTATTCTTTGGATAAGCCTTATTCAAGTCAATAAAGTCCATGCACATTTTTCATTTTTCCCTGCGCTTTTTAACCATAACCATATTGGCTATCCACTCATAGTAGTAAACCTCCATGATAAAGCTAGCTTGTAATAATTTGTCAACCTCTTCCTTAATGACTTGTTTTCTTTTAAGGGTAAAAGTTCTTTTCTTTTGTTGAATTGGTTTGACATCAAAATTAGTATGTAGTCTGTAGACCAATACCTTAGTATCAATCCTGGGTATATCAGATGGTGTCCAACCAAACAAGTCTGCATTATCTTTTATAAATTAAATCAATTGGTCCTTATGTTAGAGTTTAGCTTAGATCTACATGTATTTTTGAGGAGTATTGTTCCGAAATAGAATTGTTATGAGGTACTAAGCTAATTTAGGTCAATTTTTATCTGAGTCCAGCCTTTGATCGATTATTTTTTTATTCCATTAGTTTTGGATCATTTTCTGTGAAAACAGATCCTGACAAAATGATTAGTATATTGAACAACTTGTTAAACATATTAGTAGAAATGATTTGGCTAATGTGTTAGCTTGTTCTAAGTAACATTAATTTTTTATGCCTACTTAAGAGCTCGATCACTTTTATTGTTGTCTTAAAAAATTTAAAAAATTAAATTTTTACAAAGTTTAAGAGCTTTGAACGGCTTAAAAGCATGATTCTATCAGGTTGACCTTATGTTTTGTGCTTAAATCAATAGTTTTTTTTTTGTTTTTCGCCAATTTTTTATGTTGATTTCTCTTTGTTTTCCACTTTGATATTAGTTGA